GTTTTTATATATGAGGTTTTTGGTCTATACCATGTTATTTATGTGAAAAAGTCTGCACTGCACTCTTGTGAATGGCTGCTCTGTTCCAAATTGAATAGTTCCTCTGCCGTTACAGATATTAACTTTCTACTACATACTACACACAGCGATCAGCTTCATCTAGAAAGGAAAAAAAATACAATTTCACGTTATTTTTCTCTATTCTGCATGTTTTGTTTAAAATCAAATGTAGCATAAAATATACTGAGACATTTTCCTCTACAGTTTGTCTTTGTTCACTGAGAGTCATTCTGTGTCTATACAGTGAATGTCTTTACATGTTGTGGTGCATTTACAGTATCCCATCCCTTAGTGAAAGAAACAAGAGAGCTCTCAAATCATTTTGCCAATATAGTCGTCAATGTTATCACAGATAGGCCTGTGGGGAAATGCTGTTCTCAGCATGTGACTGCAAAGAAGACTTGCAGTTGTTTGGATTTGACCTTGAAGGCATTTTGTAAACCTTGTAATACCAGATACAGAGTTAACAAAATTAATAACTGGGAATAAGTGTCTCAATGAAAATGAATAATAAAAACCATTAGAGCCGTTGCTGTAACTCATTGAACTTGGAACAGACTATTCCCAGCCCCCAGCTCGTTAGAGGTGATTCTGATTACAGTAATCCCACAGTCATTTGAAGCAGATTTAGGTGTGCTAAGGTCACATTGGCAGCGAATGATAACTTTGAAAGGCAATCCAAATCTGTGTTCAAGTCCAACCAATTCACTGCTGTTGTCATCTCACTGAAGGACAGATAATCTCGGGTAGGAGGGTGCTGAGGATGAACTAGTTGAACTTTACCAATTGTACTTATATAGCTTTGGAGATTCGTGAAAACATCAGACATTGGTTGCACAAGCAAGAATTTGATTTGACAGCAGATAACTACAAGAATGCAACATTAGGAGGTGATTAGGCTTACCACGGCATTCATGCAGGATTAGTTAACTTAACCATTTCCCCCTCACATGCACCTAATATGTTTAAACTACCATCAGGTCTACATACAAGTCGCCTTACTCTCAGAAGCCTATAATATGGCTCAGTACATTGAGAAGAATCATTCATTTCAATCATTCATTTTCCTGCACGGGGGATTGAAATGTCAGCTTAAGTTCAGGCATGAAGAAATATTTCATTTCTGGATGATATTTTCATTTTATGTTCCTATGATTGAATAAATACAAGATGGTAAATTGATTAAACAAGGCCTACACATGAGACAAATGAATGCAACAGCAAAAAAGCACAATTTAGTTATTATCTCATTATTATTAAATATTTGACATTGCAACCTATACATTCAAAATGGACAGCAAGAGAAAGTTAATGGGTACTTAGGAGTGGTGGTAATTTTTCCCTTTAATCCCATCTTTCGTCAAAGCTCCCAGATGGAAATGATAGGCTTGATATGCCCAATGGCTGCCAAGATAATGGCAACAGACGAGTAACAGAAAACCCTTGACAGTGTAAACACACGGATGCTATCTAAACCGCTGCTGCGTTTTGGCCGGAGCCGCCATTGACTGGCATAATCTGTTGTATAAATCTGCAGCTTGGCCCTGTCTGGCTGCTGTCGGGGTTCTGTGCACTTAGACAAAAGCGACGGACACCTTGCCCACTGACAAAGGGTCTGGCCCTAATCGGAGTGGACAAGGCTTGCTGATGGAGCCTTTTTGAGCAATTGAACTTGGTCAATGAATCTTAGAGGACCTAATGAAACATAAGGGACAGGCAGTTTGACTCCAACAACAGGAGCAGCACCAAAGTGTCCTGTTTCTGCCCATCAGCCTCAGGACTGAAGTTGTGCTTTGACCCATAATGACCTTTATGAAAGCACGTCTATGCTGGACGGACCTGTGAGGATTCTGATGGTGTTGACCTTGTAGGCCACATAAGTGTTGTAGTTGTGGTGGTGCCTTTCATTGTCGTTGGGGAATTCAGTTTGGGGCTTTGAAGAAAAAATGAGTCTGATCTGGCGCCATTCTGTTGTTATTGTTTTTGTCACGAGAAAGGAGAACAGGCCTTAGTGTGTCTCCGGAGCAAACAGTTTGGGATGGAGGACACGCTGTTCTTCTTTGAAACGTTGAGGAAGGAGACTGGGTTCCTTTTAGAAAGCCCTAGGGAATGTGTATGGGAAAACCTGCGTGGGCCACTGGAATCTCCTCAAAGAGAAGTACAGCACAAGTGCTGAGACTTCACCATGGGAGAGAGGAACTGGTCTTTGTGATCAGAAATGCCATGGAAAAAGTGTGCATTGTTCACATCCTAACACATTTTTTTTTCTGGTCCTGTGATTCACCTACAAGGTCTTAGGCTCACTGACCCCTTCCCGCTGGCTGTCCAAAATGCCCACACAAGACCATGACACTACATTTTATTTTCACTAAGCAGTGCTTCAACCAAATCATTTTGCTGTTCTCCAACTGCTTGTTGCCCTTTTTGTTAAATCAGCAGTGCCAACACCAATACAGAAGCACAACAACAATACTGACTGGAGAATGCAGTATAAATATAAACTATCGATATAATACCCTTGACAGTGTAAATACACGGATGCTATCTAAACTGCTGTTGCAGCTATTTTACAAGGAACAAGGTTCAAGGTTGTTTCTTAGTCATGATACAGCACGAGGCTGCATAACGAAACGAAATTTGTAGTTCCTTCATGCTACACAACACACACAACATATAATTAAGTGTGGGCCTATATTAAAATATGGTAACATATAAAGTAAAATTAAACAATATATACAGTTATTTATATACATATTCAGTATCTCACAAAAGTGAGTACATCCCTCACATTTTTGTAAATATTTAATTATATCTTTTCATGTGACATCACTGAAGAAATGACACTTTGCTACAATGTAAAGCAGTGAATGTACAGCTTGTATAACAGTGTAAATTAGCTGTCCCCTCAAAATAACACAGCCATTAATGTCTAAACCACTGGCAGCAAAAGTAAGTACACCCCTAAGTGAAAATGTCCAAATTGGGCCCAAAGTATCAATATTTTGTGTGCCCACCATTATTTTCCAGCACTGCCTTAACCCTGTTGGGCATGGAGTTCACCAGAGTTTCACAGGTTGCCACTGGAGTCCTCTTCCGCTCCTCCATGACGACGTCACGAAACTGGTGGATGTTAGAGACCTTGCGCTCCTCCACTTTCTGTTTGAGGATGCCCCACAGATGCTCAATAGGGTTTAGGTCTGGAGACATGCTTGGCCAGTCCATCATCTTTACCCTAAGCTTCTTTAGCAAGGCAGTGGTCATCTTGGAGGTGTGTTTGGGGTCGTTATCATGTTGGAATACTGCCCTGCGGCCCAGTCTCCGAAGGGTGGGGATCGTGTTCTGCTTCAGTATGTCACAGTACACGTTGGCATTCATAGTTCCCTCAATGAACTCTAGTCTCTAGTCTTTGTACTCCTCACTTGGTTACCGCCACACATGCTTGACACCATCTGAACAAAATAAGTTTATCTTGGTCTCATCAGACCACAGGACATGGTTCCAGTAATCCATGTCCTTATACTTGTCTTCAGCAAACTGTTTGCAGACTTTCTTGTGCATCATCTTTAGAAAAGGCTTCCTTCTGGGACGACAGCCATGCTGACCAATGTCCGGCGTATGGTCTGAGCACCGACAGGTTGACCCCATCAACCTCTGCAGAAATGCTGGCAGCAGTCATAGGTCTATTTCCCAAAGACAAGCTCTGGATATGTCGCTGAGCACGTGCACTCAAGTTCTTTGGTCGACCATGGCAAGGTCTGTTCTGAGTGGAACCTATCTTGTTGAACCGCTGTATGGTCTTGGCCACCATGCTGCAGCTCAGTTTCAGGGTCTTGGCAATCTTCTTATAGCCTAGGCCATCTTTATATAGAGCAGCAATTCTTTTTTCAGATCCTCAGAGAGTTCTTTGCCATGAGGTGCCATGTTGAAATTCCAGTGACCATTATAAGGGAGTGTGAGAGAAATAATACCAAATTTAACACACCTGCTCACCATTCACACCTGAGACCTTGTAACACAAAAAGACACTGGGGAGGGAAAATGGCTAATTGGTCCCAATTTGGTAGTTAGTGGTAATTAGTGGTGTACTTACCTTTGTTGCCAGTGGTTTAGACATAATGGCTGTGTGATGTGTTATTTTGAGGGGACAGCAAATTTACACTGTTTTACCAGCAGCATTTGAATTTGCATCTGAGGTGAATGTAAACAGCAGCAACCAGATGATGATATTAAAGTTTCATCTTCACAGTTAACAGTTTGGGAAACAGAGCGCATCTTGACTGCATCTGAGCACCAAGCATCATCGATGTAAAACACAGTCCACTTCCTCTCATCTTGCTGGAGCCTTGCGCTGACAGCTAAATTCCGATCTCTGGTCAACATGAGTCCCATTTTGTCCAGAAATGCTCTTTAGGAGCAGAATTAAGTAACAGCTGGGCCAGCATGGCTCCTCTCCTGGCTCTCTTCCCTCTCCTCTGAGCGATCACCGCACCCACCGTGGCGCCATGGTCAGGTTGTGTGGGACGGGTGGATCGTGGTCTGCTGCTCTTTAATCCAAAAAAAACCCGTCTTCATCTTGCAGTGACTTGTATTTATGTCAGAGGTAACGCATGTTCTGGCAATAAAGCCGGAAAAAAAAAAACACAGATAAGAAACGAAATAGCAGCGAAGTTTGAAGGAACTATCAGCTGCTGCTTCTACAAGCGCTGCCGGTTGCCATAGCAACCATAATTTAAATATGATAATTTGAAATATAAATACACAAACTAATAAAATATAAGACAATAATCAATAGTGATATGTAGGCTATACGTAAAGATGGTATTCTGCTAAATGTGATTTGCAAGATTATCTGAGTCTTAACTATTTCCTTTGCCTTTTGCACGGTTTGTCCCTAGCGAGGCTACATAGTTCACAGCGTTGTTTCCATAGAGACTGAAGTATCTCCCAGACGCGAACGGATCTTTTTCTGCATGCTAGCAAATGTTAAACTAGCCTTCACGTGCTAAACAGCATATTATTTAGATAAACAACAAGTACTGGAATTGCCGATTATAACAGCAACTAAAGATAACTTTCAAGTGGTTGAATGTAAAAATTAAGTGAGAAAACGAGTCGCTGGCCATGACGGGTGCTAATGAGATATATGACACAATCATGCGGGAGCTGAATAATCTAGTCCTCTCAGATACAGATGAAACTAAAGAAGAGCAGGAGAGTTTTTCACTTCAGGATGAGGCGGTAAGTAGTCTCCTGCTGAAGCCACAGCTCTGAAAAAGGTCAACGTTAAATTACAGGTGTTGTTGACTCCAAGCTAAATGTTAGCTTGTATGGTGGATCTTAGCACATGTTTTATTTATGTTGTATATTTTATGTATCTTATAATGTTTTATGTTCAAGTCTTTGGGTTCACCTGGGTTCAAATTTGCCTGTGAAAGTTGGAAGTTAACTTCATCACGTAGCAGCTATCAGTCAAGGCTGGTACTTGCTAATTCCTTCTGTACCATTTTACTATGTATTTGTATAAATGCACTGCAAAATTATCAAGAATATTAATTTGGAAGTTGGTATAGATCATGGATGGGTTATGGACAGCTTAGAAGCATTCTGTGCCCATCAGCTGACCTACAACAAATCTATCACCCTGACCATATAGGCTTTTGTTTTTCAACAGTCATCTCCACCAGATTAGTAAAACACATGTTTGGATGTTTAGGTAGATATAAGATTAAACATTTACCTTAACCTTTTTGTGATGTGACCAAACTAACAATAAAACAACATTCTGACAACAGGACTTCGATGATATTCCACCATCTCTGCTCAGCTACTTTGAAACCTCAAGAAGCAGAGCAGCAGTTTGTGAAAAGCTCATCCTTGAGGAATTTGAAGGTGTGACAACTTGTTAAATAGCAAATACATCATACAACATTATGCTTCTATAAGCTATTAGCTATTTTGTTTTAAAAAATGGCTGGTAAATTACCAATTTAACCTGGCACATTCATGATGATGGATAATATGTATTTTCTTTGAATTGCATCTCAGACTTTGAATCACATCACACGGACGACATGATGAATGTTCCTATTCACCTTGGTAATGACATGATGAAAATTAATGAGCAGGTAAATGTCTGCCTGTAGTATTTTACTGTATGACACATCCAAAATACAATTAAAAAAAATATAGTCCACAGGTTCTGTCAATTTACTCTAAATGTTTGTCTTGCTTGATACAGGTCGCTTGTGACACACAAAATGAGGACAATGAAACTTCCACCTACACCTGCCTTCTTCCTGCACCCACAGAGACCATGGCTCCTTTCATTCACAATGTGTCAGTGTGTCCCAGCAATGAAGGTACAGTACATGTTTAGAAAAATGAGGCAGTGCTGTGTAAATCCCACATCGTGACACAAGTCTCAAATTCAAAAGTTCATGGCATGATATGTTAAATATTGTAGTTAACTACAGGTGTGCTAAATTACATCTCTTTCCTCTGTTACTTTTTCATTGCACTGGACTGATAATGCATAGAAACTTCTTCGGTGATACCCACAAGAGGTCACTGTTGTCCTATTTTACGTTCTCATTAATGACTGCATATAATTTCCTTTGACATAAAAATATATGGTTTTTAATAATATTAAAACATCAACATTTTGAAAGACCATAACACCATTAGTCTGAATGACATTCCTACTGCCCTGCCCAAGTGCTGCCCAAAGCATGTCTACTTCTTTATGCTTATTTTTGAAGCAGTTTATTTTCACTGCATCGTGTGCAATGGAAGGTAAAAGGGAAGGCAGAGAAAAGGGTGACATGCTCAGTGGGAGTTAGATTTAACCTTCATATTTGTACTTGTACTTGTGTCACAGATGAAGCTGGAACAGATGAATATATGGAGAGTGAGAAGCATTTGGCATTTGAAATGAGGACCCTTGAGATTTCACTGAATGAAGAGGAGAGGAAGAAAAGCAGTGAATACGAGGCAGAGCGGGAGAAATGGCACTGTGAGGAGATGAAGAAGATGGAGCAAAAGAGACAAATAGAAAGAGACTTCCAGAAAGAGCTGAAGAAGATAATGGAGGCCGAAAAGGTGAGTCAGTGGCTAATTTGCAATGTCTCATATCTCATATCCATCTTACTGAAAAATTTAAAATAGAACCTGGTACTTCATTTATTTATGATAATATATGTATTAATTAGGGAAACAAACTTAGGAAACTGCAGCCTTGCACACATGCTTTTAGAAGGATATTGCCATATATGCCACATATGCTGTGCAAATACAAACATGAAAGAGAAATTTGTATAATGTAAAATGTAATTTTTAAGATTATCATGTTTTTTAATTATTTCTCTCTGTATCCAGCTCCATCAGAAGGAACTTGAGTTGATGCAGAAGAAGGCACAGGAAAAACTTGAACAGGAGATGCTTCTTCAGCAGGTAGGCCTGGATCCTCTTTTTGGCTGATGTTACCAGATGGTCAACCCACAGAGGCTACCCCTGGGTGTAGGCACTCTCCCTGGTTAATTATAAAGTACTGGGACTTCTAAGCAAAGTTAATTATCTGAATTCATCATTATTTCCCAACTTGGAATCAGAACCGTGAGAGAATATAGAAAACACATACCCTTTTGGGAATGTTTGACTCCTCAAATCAGAGGTTCATTCACATCAAATACCAGATTATTATAATCTACACATAGTTCCATATTCCTCTTTAGATGTTTGGCTTTGGGTTATATTGGCAGTTTGGGATGTATTGACAATTTTTAAAGACCTATTTGACCTTTTGGACTCTGGACTACGAAGAGTGACTCAAAGTGTAAGTGTTAAGATTGTTTGCAATTTATTTGTGGATTGTTTTATGTACTAACAATGAAATGTTTCCAATGAAATGGTTTGTTGTAACTTTTGTAACTATCTTTACCAATTAGGAACTGATCCGGAATTTACGGAGACGAGTGGAAGAAGAGAGGAAGATGAGGGAAGAGGAGCAGAAGAGAATGAAGGACAAGGAGGACAAGAGGAAAAGGGAAGAGGAGACAGAAAGGAGCAGAATGGAGGAAGAGAGACAAATGGAATGCATGACACTTAAAAATAAGGAGGAGAGGAAAAATGAGGAAGAGGAAAAGAGGATAATAGACAGGAAGGAAAAGAGGAAGAGAGAAGAGGAAAGAAACAAGATAGATTTGGAAAAGAAGAAGCTGGACGATGAGATGAGAATAATGAAGCAGGAAGAAGAGAGGAAAATGAAAGAAGAGGTGGAAAGGTTAAAGAAGGAGGAGGAAAGGAAAAGAGAGGAGGAAAGAAAAATTATAGAAGAGTCAAGGAAGAAGCTGGAGAAAGAGAAGACAAAAGTGGAAGAAGAAATGATCCTGAAGAAGGAGGAGGCGAAGCAAAAGAAGGAGGAGAGAAAAAAGAGAGAAGAGGAAAATATGAGAATAGAGGAAGAGGGGGGAATTACCGAGGTGATTTTGGAGAGGAAGAAGCAGGTGGAGATGAGGAAAAATAAAGAGGAGGAGGATGCTGATGATAGAAAGAAGATATATAAAGAGATCAGGAAGAGGGATATAAAAGAACATGGAAATGTAGATGAAGAACTTGAGGAGAAGAAAAAGAAGCAAGAAAGTGAGAGGAAAAAGAGCGAGGAGGAGGAGGAAGAGGAGGAGAAGGAGGAGGAGGAGGAGAACAAAGATGGCAGGAAGAGAGAAAAGGAAAGAAAAAAGATGGAGGAGAAAACAGAGGTGAAGGAAGTGGTAAGAAAAAGGGAAGGGAAACATAAACAAATGAACGAAGAACTAAGATCTATTGAAGAGGATGAGAAGAGGAAAAATGAAGACAAAAGGAAAACCAAAGAGGGAAATCAGAGGAGGAGGCAGGAGGAAGAGATGATGAAACAGAAGGACGAAGAGCATTACAGAAAATCAGAAGAAGAAATAAGGGTCAAGGAAGAGAGGGAGGGGTATAAAGGGTGTGGTGTGGACAACCGAAAGATGGAACACGAGAGCAAAACAAACGATAAAGAGAAGAAGCAGAAGGAGAAGAGAAAAAGGCAGGAGGAGATAATTAAAGTAGAGGCAGGAGAAAACACAAAAGAGGGTAACAAAAAAACAGAAGAAGAAATAACAATCAAAGAAAAGGAGGAGAGCACAAAGAGATTGGTGCATGATAGGGAAAGGGAAGAAAGAGTGATTAGAGAAAATGAGTGGCAAGAGAAGAGAAAGAAAAGCATGATTGGTGAAAATGAGAAAAAGAATACAGTTAAAACTGAAACCTCCCTGGCCTCACAACTAGAAGACAGCCCCCCTTGGACTTCCTCAAGCCCTGGTTCTTTACACAGTGAGTCTACAGCCTGTCCCACCAGTACTGGGACCGTACCACACCAACATGACCTAGACAAGATCAGTCAGGCCTCCATAGATAAAACTGAAACCTCCCTGACCTCACAACTAGAAGACAGTTCCACCTGGACTTCCTCAAGCCCTGGTTTTTTACGCAGCGAGTCTACGATCTGCACCACCAGTACTGGAATCTTACCACAACAACATAATCTAGACAAGATCAGTCAGGCCTCCATAGATAAAACTGTTGCCTGCGAAAATCAAGCAGCAAGGCCTTCCGCTGTGTCTGTTTTTCTACCGTGTGCCTCCCAGAGCACACAGAGCAGAAGAGGCTGTCATGGATGAACGACTGCATCCCCTGGTCAAAACTCTGCCTTCAGAACAGGAGGAAACAAAAAGGATCTGTGCAGAGTCGAAGAGGGCAGAGGAGGACTGCAGAGCCCAGCAGTCTGCCACCTCTCTGCCCAGACTCTCTGCTTCAGTCCACAGGCTCGAAATCCCTGCAAGAGGTAACCTTTGTGCAAGTGCTCAGCCACACAGACACACTGACAATACCATTTATGAAGGATGAAGTTGTTTTAACTCCGACATGTTGGTTTAGGGGATTTGGCACAAAACTTGTTTTTTTGTGCAAGTCGTCTCTGGGCATTTTTATGCACAAAAAATGATGTAATTTGTTTTTGTCAATTACACACAGAACTCAGGCAACTGAAATCCTTTTATTGGGAATAGAAGACATTCACCCACCAGAGCTGTCTAAGAGCATGCAATCGTGAGATACTTTAGCACAGTAAATTACTTAGCAGGAAAAAAAGGATAATGTTGAATACAGAAATGTAGTGTTAAATAATCTACTGTATTTGTAAGGAAAATTGCATTGAATTGCATATTTATTACTGATTTCACCCAGCAATGTTAAAGAGTATTCGCTGTATTAGCAGTAACATATTTCTGAATAGTTCAAATTTTATATTTGATATAATAATGATACATTCCTGTACCATGTCACACATGCCACCTTAACCTCTCCACTCCTAAACCTTAAAGCATCTTTGCCCTTCTTTCAGGTGACCACAGTGACCCTGGAGGACTTGCCTGGCTGTAACTTATCCACTCTTGCTCAGTGTATACAGCTTCGGTCCCTCACCCTCAGACGCTGTGGCCTCAAATCCCTGGAAGGCATCAACCAGTTACCACAGCTCTGCCACGTCGATGTACAGGTGGAAATTCAGTCAATATATAATAAGTTTACTATCTTAATGCCATTACAGTGAGTAATCCAAGATCTTTATTTACTTGTATATCTACTGTTATGTAGTGCAGAAGTTTGTTATTGTCAGTTAAATGTCATTATATCTTTTTCTTTAGAAATTTCACTATATAATAGACAGTCAATGCAGGCAGATTTTCTTGTGTCCTAAGATCTTCATTTGTTTGGTCACAGGAAAATGACATCTCATTTGTCGACTGTGAAAATATGACTAATTTACGAATTCTTCGACTCGGCCACAACAAAATGACGTCCATTCGTGGTTTAACTGGTGCTGAAAATTTGGACATTCTAGACCTCTCACACAACTCCATCACCCGCATTGGTGAGACCTGGAAAATTCATTAATATACCTTATGAAACATTAACTTGGATTAAATTAAATAACAGATTGTTGTCCAATTGTTTTAGAATTTGATTCATTATTTTCCTTGGAATGTGTATGTAGCAGCTTGAGCCGTTTTGTGCCGAACTCCTGGCAAGTCTGCAATACTCCACAAGAGGGCAGCATCTCTCTTTGTGTCACCTTTCTTCTGTTCAGACCTGGACTTAATTTACTTTACTGCAGTCTGCATTGAAAAGTGATTTATTTACTGAAGTCAACTTGAGCCCTGAGGCTAAAGTCATAAAAAGATATTGGCCAGGCAAGAGGTTAAACTCATTGAACTGTTGCTACTGTAACATTTTGTTGTAACTCCCCTCTAAAACGGAATCATAACTCATTATCTATATTGTAATTTCAAATTAAGTTTTTAGACATGGTTTGTTTATTGCGTATATGCAGACTCACCCTGTGCTGTTTTTCTAACTGAATAAGTGGCTTCTCATCTCCATCTCATCCCTAGCTGGTCTGGAGTCTATGAGGAGACTACAGAGGTTGTCAGTGGATCACAACCAACTGATCAGCACCAAAGGACTGAGGGAAGTGTACACTCTCCTCCACCTGAGCTGCTCACATAACCACCTGGCAAGCGTGGAGGGTCTGGAGAACAGTGCTCTGCTCAACACACTGGACCTGAGAGCCAACAGTCTTACTGAGGTAAGAAAAACAGCTACGGCTGATCACTGAAAGAACTGATGTCAGTGTTCAGTGGTGCAATTTTGTAACATCTGTACAGAAACTGATTTGGATGTTTGAGGGGTGTAGGGGGCCAGTAACTCAACAGATTTTATTGAAGTGAGCCCACATCATTCTGTTTCATCTTGTAGAGACGTAAGTAATTTGTATGTAGGAATGAGGGGATTTCCCATGGAAAATCACTAAAAAAATCTAATTTTGAAAAAACTTTAACATCTAATTATGTATAGTTAACAAAAATGGAGAATTCTTGTTTTCTGTGTATAACTGGATGTTTTTTTTTTCATTTTCTTATCAAGATACAGAAACATAGCCATAATGATGATAAGAGAACATCTGGTATCGGTGTCAAAATAAAAGCTCACAAGTGTTACATACATGTGAGCTGATTTATTTAAATCAACAACTCAAGAGAGGAAGCCAATTTTGGGCTCACATTATAATCTTGAACAGATCATGACTGAACAGATTATCTTGACAAAACCACAGGCTGCTGTTATGCAGTACACATTGCCTAAATTTCCCTGTGACTCAACTTAATGTCATGGCCAAGGAACATTTTCAAAGTTTACTCCACCTGTGGAAAAATAGCAAAAACAAAATTGAAAATCTTACACGCAACCAACTTTGATTTGATTTGACCAGCTCTCTGCAACCCTAAACAGAATATGAGGTTTAAATGTATAGCGAGTGACCTCCTGAGTCCTTCAAAGGTCATGGATAAGCTGAGGTTTATCAGTTCTCTGGACAGATTTAAATGTCTTCATCATCACATTATCACCACCTTTATCACACTACAAATGGGCGGATTAAATAAAGAACATCACATTTTCCTTTAGTCCAATAAAATTTCCCCTCTGGACCAAAAAAGGATAGGATATAACAAGTTCAATGTAGGTGATCTGAAAGTGATGATGCTTAGCATAACATTGTACAAAACGGAATGGCACGCTCCATTCTCCTACGTAACACCAACAGAACTCTGTTTCTTTTGCAAGTTGAACAATGTTGAACTTTGACCTGCAAATCTGAGGAACATCAAACTAAAACACAAAGTGCATTGTTGAATTTGTCAATCGCAGATTTGAACTAGAAGAAAGTCAGAATGCACAATGCCAGGGCCCTTTCACTGGCACACCTTAATGAAAGGCACTAATGGATGTTATTAGTTACTCTACAGTTACAGCAGTCAAAATATCTTCCATGAGAATGCTCTATTAGTAAGAGTTGAGCAAAAGAGAACGTCCAATTACTGAAGCTTATCTTTCTTTTTTTTGGGAGAGTAACTCACTGGTAATTGCTTGAAGAGGCAAAGTCAGGAAAAAGAGTGCACGCAAAATAAAAACACATCCAAACAATAGTAATTAGAATGACAATATATACACCTTTAGTATTTCCTAAGGCACCCCTTGATCGCAGCAGAGCTTAACTTGGCAGTACTGTCGACTGTAAACACAGCAGAACTACAACAACTGACAGTGATGGACGGGGTCATTTAGGTGTTGTTGTATCAGCAGCAGCAGCAGCAGCAGCAGCAGCAGCAGTGTAAAGTTAGTTTAACCCCACAGTGTGACTAGTGTTTACTGACAACTTCACCCTGTTTATCCATCAGCCCCCCAGTCTGAACAACCAGGTCCTCCTCAGAGAGCTGCATCTAGATGACAACAGCATCTCCTCCCTGACAGCACTCAGTGCTTGCTGGCTTCCCCATATGCAACATCTCTCTGTGGCCCAAAACAGGTACATTCCACCAGTACTACACAAGGTCTGTTATGTGATAAAAACATAATATAAACAAATAACCTTTACTGCAATGTTTTCTCTTTTTTAGGTGACTCATGCAAACTAGACAACTTAAAAACCAAACACATTATTTTAGAACGTTTCGGTGTTTACAAGCAAATGTTAGCTTAACATGTAGTGTAGTTTTCAAAAGGTTGATTATATGTGTTTCTGTGTTTCCTAGAATTACCCAGCTGCCCTCCATGTCTGATTCTGTGTCCCTTGCAAATCTGGATCTTCGATTCAACTGCATATCAGGTCTTGATTAAAGAGTCTATATAAATCCCATTTCCTCATTATAAACACAGACCGACTTCTATAGTGCATGTAATGTGGACAAATTCCAAACCTGTGTTGTTTCATCATCTTTTTTTCTGAGTACTTTATACAATAATTTTATATTTTGTTGTCTGTATGCTCACATGTCTTTCCAGTTCCTTACTCACAGATTGATTTCAACAACAATAAAAGAAGTTACAAAGCTATAAATTTACATGCACTAAACCTTTAGTGTGTAAACACTTCTGATTCCATATATTTTACATGACACTGCTGCATTCATATATTCTCTGTGCCAACTGTCCAAGTACAGTATATGACTCCATGGAAATAAATGTCGATAGTAAGTTCAAGTCTCTGGAACACATCTCTATTTATCTCATCCAGTTGAGATAAGACAGTGGTGAAAGTGAAGAATACACTGAAATATAGACGTTGACAAGGCAATGTTTTTCCTCTTCTCTCTCAGAGCTCCAGAACGTGTGTGAGAGTCTGCAAGGATGTCACTTCCTACGCGAGGTCCACCTCACAGGGAATCCGCTTCAGCAAGAGAGTGGCTGGAGGTAAGGCCAGAACTGATTGGAGGATTTAAAGCAAATTACATGGGCTATTGTTTTAAACAGTAGGATCTACATATATGTTGTTGTATAATCCATGTGTCTGCTTGTAGGACAAATCAGCCAATGCTATTGTATAAAGCTGATTTGAATTTGCTCAGTACTCTCAAATGTTTCGGAAGGCTGTTCAACTATGACTTTAGCACCTTCTCCTCTGCAGTATCTGCTACACAGTTTCAAATCAAGATAGTGTAATTAGAAATTTCCGTAGTTCTTTCTGGAAATTCTTTGGACAAAAGTTTCAGTTTCAGCTTCCTTTGCTTTGAAATATCACTCACTGTGATGGATGTTCAAAGGAACATACCAGAGAAAAGCCAGTATTTCTCTATCACAAATTCGGTCTATTGGCTTAGGTAGTCTAAACATTCCACCAGAACACAGACCTTCCTGTTCACTTCCCAGGATTAGCACTCTGATTCGCGTCCGCTATTAGATTACTGCGACTTGCAACCGACATCTGTGTGTACGTACATCGCACTAAGTGCTCGTAATTCCCAAAATATTGATACAACAGAAAAATCAATTATCTTTTTAGCGTCAATTTGCTCATTCACTTATCATATCTGAATATTTTACCGATGTTGCAGTGAGTTTATATGAAAATATGCAATGACCACTTATATTCTTCATGCTTCATTGGCCTGTCATGAGCAATGATGTCAGTTGTTAGAGCTCTGCAAAGTTGTTTGGCTCCTCAGAGCTACTCACACCCATTTAGTAACAGCAAAATGTCCAAAATATGAAAAACTATATTTTGCTTGCCCCTCCAAATAGCCTACATTTTTTGCAGTTGTTTAGCTAACTGATGTTGTGTGTTTGCACCTCTAATTCATCGACATCATAACTGAGAAGAGTTGAAGTCAGTTGCACACGTAAAACATTCTCACCTTATGTGCTACTATGTATTTGGTTCAATACTGCTGACGGTTTGAACAAAACATTTAGATTTTTTATTTGCAGATTTTCTGTTTTTTTTGTCTGTCCAAAAATCCCCCTAAAAACATGAATGACTAGTGGACATTTTATCTGCCTTAAGCCTTAACTGAAACATTACCTTAATATTTCAATGAACTTTACCTAACCTCCAATGCCAACATTGGAATTAACCCTCTGTATTTCCATACTCATGCTCTGACCCTTTCATCCCCAGCCAGTGATAACGCCAGCTAAATTAAAGCAGCAAAAGGCAAGCGCTAAGAATTACACTCCCTGTAGGCAGCCCGTGATCCAGGAGACGTGGAAGAAGAAAACACTGGGCCTGATTAATCAGGGCCACTTGAAGAGCATGTGTTTTGGAGGAAGTCTTCACTAAATGAAATACGGACTTGTGCTCGTACGAGAAGGAGGATGAAGGAATGTGAGCCAAGAACAGTGTCCTCTGAAAGGAGGATGAAATTTATATCAATTTAGGAAATGTTCAAGTTGAAATCCAAGTGTAGTCAATGTAGATATAGCTATAAGGAGAGAAATAGATTCATAGCATCTAAATTGTTGAAAAATAAAGAGTTTTATTTATTTGGCTAAATTTAACTTGACAAATACATAGTATACAACAACAGAAACACTGCTTTATGCTTTAAAAAGTTAATGAAGACTGTAGTGCCGAGGTCTACTCTGCGTTCTCCCAAGTGGCGTCCATTCCTGAATTGAATTACATTCCCCACCTCAATGAGCTCATGTAACGATCAAAAGGTCCTATTTGGTTCTGGAGCTTCATTTGAAGACAGCCAGCCAGACAACATGCCTAAAGGGTTGGAACCATATCCCGATCTGTGTCGGAGAGACCAAGTGGGCCACATCAGAACCGTATCCCTCTGACAGTACACAGATCCCGTACTTTGCGATGATGTCTTTGTCTCAGGGTGGCAGGAGGGTTGGGAAAACATGGTATTAAAATACAGTATGAACCATTCAGGTTACAGGTTTAAATCCTCTGCAAAGGTCGGAAGAAAGTACCTGAATCAAAATAAACCACATGCAGATGCTTTGTCAGCATTGTTTATTTTTTTCAATGGATTTAATACTTTGCTCTATGCTTCATCTTTATTAGTTGTACAGTCAGTGGTTATGGTACATAAACTGTAGGGAGCAATTGTTTATGACAGTAAAATTAAACTGTTTTAAATAATCCAGCAAGATCTACCCTTGAAAATCTGTTATAGCCGTGAAATGGTAAAATATCATGAGATGTACATGTAAAGAAATGCAGTATGAAATAAGGATTCACAAAAACACATATTATGAGATGGTGAATTGAAAGGTTTGCCCTCAACACACGTTTTATCCTCCTCTGGTGACACAGTAGACTAGATTTAAGAGCATATGGTGCTCTGGGAAAAAATTCTGAAAAACCCAGTTGTTCAAAATGTTTAAAAAAATTGACTTCATAGCCTGAAGGCTTGTATTTTTATGGATTTAACTGTTGCTGTTCCCTAGTGTCCTGTAGAGTTTCCAGCTCCACATTTTCCCACTGAACACAGACCACATTTGGCCTCTGCTGGAGGATGCTCTGAGTATGTTTCTCTGGCAGATAGTTGGGATTCCTCTGCTTGTACATCCTTAGCCTCAGGCAGCGGTTACCTCTCCCCCAGACTCGTAGCCATTCAGGGCTCCCCTCTAGTTTGAAGACTGTCTGATAGTACCTAATATATACCATTTGGAATACAATATAAAGTTAACAATTGTGTTAACTGCCTCAAAATGTATTCAGATTGTTATACCAGATCACAGTGTGCATCATTTATACCAGTGGAAAAGTTCAGCAAATTCATCAAATTACTGTAAATAGATTAGTCTAGTTAGTCCGGAGGGCAAAACGTGTACTTAGCATGCACAACAGCATATAAGATGAGTGGCATCAAAAATAAAGCTAAAAAGAGAATAGCTACCCCTTGGTAAAAACTTCATGTCTTCATCCTTTGCCACGACAGAACCTCTCTGTATAACGTGAGACTCTTTTTGAGAATTTCTCCGCTGCATCAGTCTCTTTTTTGAGTTCTGTTTATGTCTTCAGTGCTTTCATCGTCTTTGAATATACTCTTGTTTATACAAACTGTAGGACTCACCAAGTTGTTTGTATTCACTGCAGTGGTGGTGAAGAGTGCTTTCAAAATGCTATACTGTTATGTAGAACAGTAGCAGCAATATTATAGTTATTAAAAAAGACAGAAATGTGTGTGTGTGTCAGCTGAAAAGTTATAAATTTAAAGGTAAATATAATTGGAAGCTTAGTTAATTTTTTTAACTAAATGTATTGATAGTATGAGCCACATTGGTCTTGTGTGTCTTAAAAAATATACAGAAATATAATTATTGGCAGAAAATTATGTTTTCAATTTTAGAAGGCTGCTTCTAATATAAGACTGTTTGTTATTATAATAACAAAAAATTAAGGTAATTAAAACATGGCCACCGATATTTTATTCAGCTTGCACTCCTTTTCAGATCCACTCTTCAGAGAGCAGTGCCTGGCCTGAGGGCCATCGATAAGCAGGAGACAGACTCTTTTCTATCGCCGCCTGCTGTTCAACAAGTCAGCTTGGCCATAGGAAGCTTCCTAACATTCTGTCAGGCTCAGCTTCAGCAGACTCATGATTTACAGCAACAGCACAACAGGGAGCTCAGGTAAGAGACAAATGACTGACTGCTTGTGTACTTGTACTGTCTGCTGTGTGTCTAGTTTCGATGAGTGCAGGTTCAGAGAAAGTGGTTGGATCGGTGTCTGACCCCAATCCTCCTAATCCTTTCTAGAGCTGTTACGGACCCATCAAGAAAAAGAAATCTGTGAAAGGAAGTGCTTATTGTTAACTCAGATAACATCATTTTCATCACGATCATCGTCTGTAATACTGACACCATGGATCTGCTATATGTACTGCAGATTTTCCGCTTAGTTAGGTAACACACTTACATCATCTGTGTTGGTAAACTGAGAAGTGATTTCTGAAGCAGCTCATGGGAAGGGAGGAGGGAAAGTTTCAGCTCATATTTGATCATTCAAATATGGTTTTGAGGTGTCCTAATAGAAAAAAGGGTAATAAATGTACACTACACTGCTTGCACAATTATTAGGCAAATTGTATTCCTCAGGGTTAATTTTATTGTTGAACAAACACAATGCTTTCAGTCAATCCAAAAGTGTGCACAATTATTAGCCAACTGTTAGTGTGCAGAATTATTATATTATAGGCAACTAAATTACAAAAATCATTTCTATCAAATTACTTGTTTATTCCCAATTTTTAGAGTAAGTGTAACAAGACAGAAAAGAAAGACATAATTCAATACAATTTTTGGATAGGATTTGATCAACTTTCACTGAAGCAGCAACCACAGCTTCCCAAATGCTGTGGTTGCTGTTGGTGTACTGTCTTGGTTGGTGTACTGTCTTCCCTGACTGTAAATCTGAAGTTTGAGAAGGGTCCACAAGTTCTCAGTAGGATTCAAGTCAGGTGAGGAAAGAGCCCAAGTCTACTATAAAGGTAAATGGCCCTCTCTCTATGCAAGAAGGTACACTCATTGGCGGTGTTTTATCTATAAGGCACTTCTTGGACAAGCTCCTACCTATTTGAGTATCTTTTTAACAAGTACTCAAGGCCATTATGGATTACGTTCAAAGGACGTCCCACACTTTTTGGTCCCCCGTGTCCGAACAGAATTAGGTAAAAAAGCCTTCATGTTTGCTGCACCTTCTGCTTGGAACCTTCTTCAGAACTCGTTGAAACTGACTGCCTTTATTTCTTCAGTTTCAGTTTGTTTCAGCTCTGAAGGATATGGAGCAGGTGAACATTGGTCAGTGTCGCTGTTTATAAAGTTGTATTCTGCCTTATTCAACAAAGGGGCTTGTGTTACTTATGTATGTATGTATGATTGATGTCTTTTATATGTTGGAAACTTGTCCTTTATGTTCTTTTATGCTGCGTCTTGGCCAGGTCTCTCTTGCAAAAGAGATTTTAATCTCAATGAGGCTCACCTGGTTAAATAAAGGTTAAATAAAAAATAAAAAATATTATTCAGGCATCTTTGAGGCCCTTGCTGGCTAGCCAAGTAGCGGAGTACTTGGATGCATGTGATGGATCATTGTACTGCATAAAGATCACGGCCTTCTAGAAAACTGCGGGTTTCTTCCTGTACCACTGCTTGAAGAAGGCATCTTCCCGGAAGTGTCAGTAGGTTTGGGAGTTGAGTTTCAGTCCATCTTCAACCCGAAAACATCCAACTATCTCATCCTTGATGATAGCAGCCTATAACAGTACCCCTTCCCCACCTTGCTGGCGCCTGAGTTGAAGTGGTCCATCAGTGGTTCACATCCATCTGGACCATCAAGAGTTGCTCTCATTTCATCTGTCCATAAAACCTTTGAAAAATCGGTCTTCAGGTATTTCTTTGCCCAATTTTCGCAACACCCTCCCTCAATACACCTGAAAATGATTAACTACAAGTATATCCAAGAGTATTTAAGTTTATATGGTTTGGAGTTGGAAAATATGCATAGAAATAATTATTCATTGAGAATAATTGTGCATGCATTGTAGTTCCAATGTCAGGAATAGCATGTTCTCTCTCCCTTCAATGTATCTTGTCACCATCCTAATTTTTCTGCAATAAAAAGTTTGGTCAATCTGTAATATATGATTGCTAGATAGCACTTATAAAGTAGTAAGAAGAAAAAATATGAAACATGCAGGTGAGAGGTAAAACTCTAACTGACACACTTGAAAAGAGTAAACGAGGTCATATTACACATTTTATCTTATGCTGAGTAGCTTGTCAGACAGACAGAAAGCAGTCAGGAATGTTAGCTATCTTCTTGTTATGTCTGATACATAGGGCGTAGCGAGCCCAAAGACAACGTCCATCTATTTTCACAAGTCCTTCAATGTCACTGGCCTCTGCACACATTGACACTCCTATGCAAGACGGACCACCAATACTTAAAACAGTGGTCAACTTTCTGCTTATCTTCGTGACCCTTCCAAATTACGCAGCACAAAAGATGAAACGTGGCTGCGGCTGCTCGTATGGGTCACACCGAGGACTCCTATGGCTTGGGGGCTAGCATGGCACTCCCTTTGCTTCACCCCTCACTGTGTGCCCTCTACCCTCCTAGCCTCTGGACAATGAGCCATTCTGGGGATTTTGCAAGGACCAACACAGCCATTTAACCCCTGGCCTGACCTTGTGTCTGTCTGAGGTTTAGGGGAGGTGAGAGGAGAGTCACATGCCAGTCCACTGGTGACTGTAAGGTGGGAAATCATGGGGTTTGGTTTCACAATGTTTCTCCACACGGTGTAGGTGAAGGCTAAATCCTCTGTTCCTTACAAACTGCCTCTATTTTCTACGTAGAATACTTAGAATTGAGTTTTTATGAATTTGGCTCTTAATCTAAACACCAAAGTTTAAGATAAACAAAAGTTGGGAGCACAAAAGATAAAACAAATATTTCTGTGTCCTAGAGTGAAAAAAATCCATGTAGAAGTTGTTTTTGAGGAAAAGAATCCTGCTGTTTCTGACTTCTTCTTCTCCTGGCCATGTTCCGGATTTTCTTGCATATATCTCTTGCTACCGAACAGTGCAACAGCTTCTTAGAGACAAACTGGAGTCCATTAAAAGAGTCATTGGTCGTTCAAGTTGTTCTTCCTGTTCTTCAAAATTCAATCATTGCTCTGTTTCAAGATGCATTTCAAAGTTCAGTTAGACAAATCAAGTGAGTATCTTCCAAAGTTACAGTTATTCCCTGGAGACACTAGAGAAACACAGAGAGGGAATTCCTCACTAAACATACCACAACTACAAGCTAGAATATTTTTGCTTTTAGGTTGTAAAGCTTATTACTTCACACGCCACCACTTTTTTTTGAGCTGGCATCTAGTTGAGGTTGAGGTAAACTGCATCTGTATAGCCACTGCTGTAGAATCTGCAATAAAAACATAATAAATTCATTATACTACACTCTTGAACAAAATCTTAAGACCGGGGGAAACATTGCAAGTACTCGCATTTCGCGCTGGTGGATCATAACCGGGTTGTAAGTATTGCTTCAAAATGCCAAAAGAAGAAACAGGAGCAAGAGACAAAAAATATAGAGTAGGCCATTTATTGAAAACTGCATTTAAACTCAAACAGGCTGTTCATCAGCTGTTCAAAAGTTTAAGACCATAGGCATAAAAAGGTAAAATCTGCACAAAAATATGGCTTTCGTGTCATTGATCTTCAGGCAGTCACACTGTCATGATCTCTTGATAGCAAAGGCAAAAAGGCTTTCTCTCATTGAACGTGGCAGGATTGTTGAGCTGCACAAGCAAGGCCTCTCGCAACGCGCCATCGCTGCCAAGGTTGGACGCAGTAAGACAGTTATTTTACATTTCTTAAAAGATCCTGAGAGTTATGGGACAAAAAAGTCAAGTGGTAGACCCCAAAAAAATTCTCCTGCACTGAGCCGCAGGATCCGACGGGTTGTCCGTGAAGACACAGGTCGATCCTCGACCCAAATTAAGACACTTACTGATGCTGACTGTAGCCCAATAACCATAAGACGTCATCTGCGAGAGAAGGGCTTCAAGAACAAAAACGTCTTCAAAGGCCACGTCTCCTCCCACTCCACAAACTTGCCCGTTTGGAATTTGCCAGGGAGCACCAAACATGGTACTTTGAAAGGTGGAAGAAAGTTTTATTCTCTGACGAGAAAAAATTTGTCAAACGGCGACTGGCTATGTGGACATGTTGCAGCGGGCATCCCTCTTGACTGAGGGCCCCTGTCTGTTCGGTAATGACTGGGTCTTTCAACAGGACAATGCTGCAATTCACAACGCCCACCTGACGAAGGACTTCTTCCAGGAGAATAACGTTGCTCTTTTGGACCATCCTGCGTGTTCTCCTGATCTAAATCCCATTGAGAACATTTGGGGATGGATGGCAAGGGAAGTTTACAAAAATGGACGTCAGTTCCAGACCACGGATGCCCTTCGTGAAGCCATCTTCACCACATGGAGCAACGTTCCCAGCAGCCTCCTGGGAACAGTCGCATCAAGCATGCCGAAACGAGTGTTTGAAGTGATCAACAAGAACGGTGGGGCTACTCACTACTGAGTCCTTTTTTGACACTTTTAGTTCTGTTGTAGGTTTTATTTTTGGGCTATGGTCTTAAACTTTTGATCAGCTGATGAACAGCCTGTTTGAGTTTAAATGCAGTTTTCAATAAATGGCCTACTCTATATTTTTTGTCTCTTGCTCCTGTTTCTTCTTTTGGCATTTTGAAGCAATACTTACAACCCGGTTATGATCCACCAGCGCGAAATGTGAGTACTTGCAATGTTTCCCCCGGTCTTAAGATTTTGTTCAAGAGTGTATGTCTTCTACTGGGAACACCCAGATGATAATTGAAAAGATAAGTAACCAGTATGGATTTTGGTATCTACACACATGATTACAGACAGATGCAGATTAGCAATACTCAATATGTTTCTTGGATTTATTATTTCCCTGTGGAAAATAATTTCATACTGCAGCTTTGACTGTGTAAAAACGTTTTTTTGTTCCTGTCCATTCGTCCATTCCTACCCTCTTATATCAGTGGTATACATGTTGATGGTGACCCTGGAGTGAACCAGCAGGTACGGGGGACGAGTGTCAGTGGGGTCACAATCCTTTTGGACCTCCCGACTTCTTTTCCCCTTGTCCCACTGAGAATGAATGGCTATGTCTTTGTAGAGAAGAAGCTGTACTACCTAAGGCTACGGGGCCCTCCAGACTGACTGGGTACTGACGCGTCTCTACCCCCTCAGGGTTGAAGACAAGGAGAGCCTAGCATTGCTAATAGATTCATTAAGTTTCCATTGAGAGTGCTTTGTAGTCAGTTTATCCCCTCAATGAAAGAGACATTATATGGTATTAAGGCACACACAGAGCAGGCAGGCAACTCTCTCTCTCTGTCTCTCTCACTCACTCACTCACTCACTCACACACACACACACACACACACACACACACACACACACACACAGTTCATTGACCTCACCTCAGATGAACTGGTCAAGAGTAAGAACTAAATGTCAGCATCTGCATCTGTATTAGATTTTCCTGTGTTGCAGCAGAATAGATTGAATTTCTCAAGAAATTAAGCATGCTGAATTACACTTTTTTTAATACTATTTCATAACAGTATGGTCTAAACTAAATTACTCTGAACCTCATGTGAATTGCAGACCTTTAAACGTTTTGTTAGAATTACAATTTTGTTTGTTTGAATCATTAATTTCATTTCATAACACCATTGATAATTTAGAAAAGTCTTACAGATACAGAAATATTCTTTGGTGTGGTTTTTTGATTACACCTATGATTTTCTTTAAAAATTGGAAAACATTTTCTTAATTTTCAAGTATGTTGATTAAATCTGAACAGTACCAAATCCATCTCATACAGGCAGGGATTTGCCAATGTCAAACTAATCACACCACTACAAAAATCAATTCAAAATCTAATTAAAACTAACATGCTCATCTTTACATTAAATAAAAGCTTTTAAAGAGGAAAGGTTACATTAATGCAGCATTGGCAAAATCATCAAGCTTAGTACACTGTCACTAAATGTATAATATTTAATCAGTGCTGCCATTTAGTTGTCAGCTTTCCTGACAAAAAAGGAGGGTGCACCCAGTCACCATCAATCACTGCATAGGTCCACTGAGTAGATCTGTTTTTTTATTCGTGACGAATGGAGCTAGGTAAGGATGTTACTGTAATTTTCTGAAACGTGTGTGAGTGGCTGTTTGTCACAGGCTCTTCAGTGTTACAGTACATGCAGACATTCTAAAAAGAGTGAGCATCCATGCCTAAAACGGTGTGTTTTTGTGTGCATATGTTCACAGTAATGCCTCATCTTCCCTGGATGCTGTAAAGACCTCCTGCCGACACTTCACTGAGGCTCTGCAGCTGGCTAAGGACCAGAGATTTGCCCATGAATATGGTGACACCACTGTGGCTGACAAATACAGGGCTGCAGGTCAAGCAACACCCAAAGAAACAATCGACATTGACAGTCCCAATGCTGAAGAGGTTATCGAGTGTCCAGAAATAGAGTCCACTGGAAAAATTCCACCAGTTATTCCAGACAGGAACAATATCAAATGCAGCTACTGGACTTTCGAAGGGAACTCATCTGCAGAGAGTCAGCATGAAACATTCGACAATGTTAGAACAGGTCCAAAGACAGGGCCAACGGTTAGCAAAGCTAACTCTGGCAGTGTTCACTCCTTAACAACAAAGGGAAAAACTATTTCCTCCAATCTTGAAATGGCACCTGTGTCCAACCATCAAGACCTGGACCTCCAAAAGTAATTCACCAAATGTTCTGAGTCAATAGTATTCCCATTCCATCCAACTCTGCACTGTCGACAACAGATCAGTGAGATCAGCTGATGTAGTGTTTCTAATAACAGCATACACAAGTACACAAGTGGACACTGCTGGCTTAAAGCAAACAGTTTAAAAAAATGAAATTTTTATACTTTTTATAGCAGCTCCGCATTTTATTACTTTCTGTTGCAGAACATTTGTCATCATTGGAGCCTCCTTTATGTGATTTATAGCAGAAGATGTTGAACATCTTATTCATTTTAACACGCAGCTTCATCATTAACGCTGCCGTATCTTTGGGAGGACAATAGATCTTTCATATGCAGGGTGGCTCTGGACAGGCTTAAACTCTCCAGAGTCCTGCTGTCTCAGAAATGTTTTGAAAGACTAAGGTGCTATGACATCATGTATATCCCTCACTTTGTGTGTGTGTATTTGTCTATGTGTGTGTCTTCTCTGGAGCAGCACAGCAGCAGTCGTGATTCAGCAGCTGTGGATGAAATACAGACAGAAATGTGGGAACATCAGCAGCCCTTCCACAGCTGAGAAGGGAGGAGGAAGAGGAGGAAAGCCAGGACCTTCCTATATTAACAGGAGCCAAGATTATGCAGCAACTGTCATCCAGGTGAAACTGTTTGGAATTTTGTTGGAGATTCTGACCTTTTTTTAGTCCACTGTGGTTGTTGCTTTTGTTACATAAAAAGCATACTTACTACATACATACTATTTTGTCATTTTGCAACATCCTCCACCAACACCAGTTTTCCTCTGATGCCAGTTTGGAAGGACATAGTTATGTTACCTTTGCAGCAAGTGCGGAGTACAGTAGCAATGTCAGAAAAGAACTATCCAGTAGAAGTAGCGTATGTAAATCATGTGCTCATTTCACCCAACCAGTTGAGGCAGATGGCTGCCCACCCTGAGTGATGCCACTGTCACCAAGTGCTTGCTCATGGTGGGAATTATTGGATCTCTGCAAATTATACACATATGCATATGGTTAAGGTTACGATCTGGTGTAAAATAAAACTGAATTAAATTAAGCACAACATACCCAAAGAGCATGAGAAGCCAGAGACTGCCTTCTACTTTCAGAATATCTGACCTGAATCATTCAACCTGTTTGATTAATTAATAATCATGTATTAGTCCAGTGGAATTAATCTCTCCATTACATGAATATGTTCATGGATGCATTAAAGAACTAAGGACATATGCATTTGGGCAGCAACTAACAAGTAGTCCGTATCAGATAATTGGTAAATAATATTTTTGGTATATTAATTAATCACCATTTGACTCATCAATTGATTTTTTCAGCACCCTATCTGCATAAAACCTGCCAATATGTCAGTGTGCCTGCTAGTTTCAAAACCTCCAATATTTCACAAGCTTAGTTTAGCATAGACAAGAGACTGGCCTGAAATTGTCAATGTATAATTAAGGCCTTACTGCTTCAACTAGAATTTTCCAGTAACATGGCTGCAACCTGGAGTTTCTTTCACACAGTGGACATCTGAAAATGTCCATTTTCACCCTTGAACATCCATCTTTAGGCCTCATACGTGCTATGGAGGCTTATTCGGCTAATCCTCTGCATATAGGTGTAAGCTGCTGTTCTGAAAAACATGCTACTCAACACTTCTCCCAAATCCCTTCTCAACACAAAAAGTGTTTGATGAGTCCTTTAGGGCTCTCTAAGGTAGAAGTTGGGGGTGGTAGTGTAGTAGAATAGTATGTGTGCATGTGGTGGTGGGGGGCGGGGGGGTTGGGGGGGCGGAAGGGGAAAGAGTGATTAATTAGATTCCAAAGAAGTGTGGTAGTAAGAGTTCTAGGATTCCTGCTCGACTCAACTTGAAGTGAAGTGTGCCCCCCCCAGCCCATTGGGAATTGGAGGATTTAGAGGCACACTGGAGCTCCATTTGTCTCGGAACAGCCCAGAGTCATGCAGAGTTCAGACAGCAGAACACTTTGCAATTAAAAGAGAGGTTAACATGTTTTATTTCCCTAATGGGATAACACACAATATTTACGTGTGCCTCATGATTCATGGAAGGTTTTCTACCATTTCTTCTTTGGGTACCTCCAGGCATTTTGGAGGGGCTTCACTCTGAGGAGGAGGCTCACATCTGCTCTGGCTGCTGTCACATGCCTGGACACCGTAGAGGACGACACCTTTGAGGAGGTGGACGTGAATGAGTTTGTCTTTGATGAGGTATGAGCACAAGTTTATGTGTTCTTCACTTTCATGGATAAGTAATGCGTTACCCTAGGCCCTATCAGACACACAAACCTGTACGGAGGATAAAATATAAATATAAATATAAGATGCATACATAAATAGACTTTCCCCAAACTCTCCATAAACACACACAATCTTGCACACATGCAAATCTGCATAGATACGTACACTCACTGGCCACTTACTACTTTATTAACATCACAGAGTACGGTCTTAACATCACAGAGTAGGGTCTAGACCTGCTCTTTTATGAAAAGCGCTGTGAGATAACTGTTGTTATTTGGCGCTCTATAAATAAAATGGAATTGTTAGATTACATTTATTCATTTACCGGATGCTTTTATCCAAAGCGACTTACAATTGCTATACATGTCAGAGGTCGCACGCCTCTGGAGCAATGAGGGGTTAAGTGTCTTGCTCAGGGACACATGGCGCATGGGTCACAGTGGGGAGTTGAACCTGGGTCTCTCACACCAAAGGCAGGCCTCTTATCCATTGCGCCATCACCACGATGCTGCTGAGCTACTGTGATTTTCACACACAACCATCTCTAGCGTTTACAATGAATGGTCCAAAAAAGAGAAAATATCCAGTGAGCGGCTGTTGTGTGGATGAAAATGCCTTGTTGATGTCAGAGGTCAAAGGAGAATGGGCATACTGGTTCGAGATGACAGAAAATAACTCAAATAACCATTTGTTAGAACCAAGGTATACAAAATACAATCTCTGAACGCACAACATGTCGAACCTTGAAGCAGATGGGCTACAGCAGCAGAAGACCACACTGGGTGCCACTCCTGTCAGATAAGAACAGGAAAGTGAGGCTACAGTTTGCACAGGCTCACCAAAAGTGGACAATAGAAGATTGAATAAACATTGACTGGTCTGATGAGTCTCGATTTCAGCTGGGACATTCAGGTAAGGTCAGAATTTGGCGTAAACAACATGAAAGCATGGATCCATCCTGCCTTGTATCAACTGTTCAGGCGAGTGGTGGTGGTGTAATGGTATTAGGGATATTTTCTTGCCACACTTTGGGCCTCTTAGTACCAATTGAACATAATTTAAACGCGACAGCCTACCTGAGTATTGTTGCTGACATGTCCATCCCTTTATGATCATACGGCCGTCTTCTGATGGCTACCTACAGCAGGATAATGCACCCTGTCACAAAGTTCAAATCATCTAAAACTGGTTTCTTGAACTTCACAATGAGTGCACTGTACTCCAATGGCCTCCACAGTCACCAGATCTCAATCCAATAGAGCAACTTTGAGATGTAGTTGAATGGAAGATCATGGATGTGCAGCCGACAAATCTGCAGCAACTGCGTGATGCTGTCATGTCAATATGGTCCAACCCAGCACTAGCACGGTGTACCTAATAAAGTGACCAAATTTGGACACATACACAAAAACAGAGAAACATATACTAAGACACAAACCTGTATGTGCACACATACACACATATTATATATCAGACACTTTATTTTGTTCCTCGTCTGTTGTCTGGAAAAAATTTATATATATATATATATATATATATGTATTATATGTGTATATATGTGTATATATATATATATATAAATAAAATCAGAATATTTTGATTTTCAAAAAGGCAGCCCTGGAGAAACACTGGACATTGCCGCTTTCTGAGAATTCTGCTCCCAGACGTTCCCCCGGGTCAGAGCAGCCACTGTCTCTGAAGGTAAAGCAACTGTCACAGGATATTCTGCAATACTCTTAAAACCTGGTGGGCTGGTATTATAGTGAAAGTGGCCAGTGAATTTTGTGGATTACCAGATATACCAGTCTTTCCCACAACAAACTAGAAGACTATTTATCTGTGAGAGCAGGCATTCTGTTTGTTTTGATCTTTTTTCGATGGGTCACCCAATATGTTATAAGTTTGGGAGCTGTGTGTGCTGCTATTTTTTTGCAATTTTCTTGCCCTGTCTCTTTCTCATCTTTGTTATCGCCCCCTCCAGGATTTGTCTTACTCTCCCTGATTGATCTTTGAATTTATTCTCTTGAAAAACAAGATTATTTCCTGGAGGGTTGCTCTGCTCTAGCAGATGTCATTTTTCACGCTGGTGGACTGTCGTCATGTTTTTTTTCCTTCATTTACCTCTCGTTGGATCTTTTCTTTGGAGCGTGCTCAGTGCTGTACATCATGGTAGCCGGTTTAGGCCAGCTGATGTGGTGCAGCTGCTGTCGTGGCCAGCCTCAATGTGTTGACACTGAGGTACACATCAAAGGCAAGGATGAACAATTTAGAGCTTCCACAAAGAGAAAATGGGATCTGGAGAGTAATTAAACTGTTAGTTTGAATTACATATGAACATTCCTTAAGTGTGAAAACTTGCTCTGGTTTAAAGTGTCATCCAGATACCTCAAAATAAAACATACAGGCACTTGAATTAAATGTGACTGACATTATATTGTGTATATATATGTGTGTGTGTGTGTGTGTGTGTGTGTGTATATAATATATATATATATATATGTAAATTATATTTCATTTGCCCTAAGGTAGACTGAAGAAGAAATTTTATCTAGACAGAGCTTAGGCTTATTTTTTCCATTTGGAGATCCAGCATCATAACCCTCTGAAAAAAACTCAAACAAGGATTCAGTTTTTACTTTTAATGAAATGAAAATAACCACTCCAGTAAATTAAAAATTAAATCTAATATAAAGAGCTGCTGTATAAACTTTTGTCTAAAAAGTTAAGTTAATAAAAATCTACTCAAATAAAGTGATACAACCTGTAAATTAATGCTGATACTGATTTACATATGTATTTCAGCCTCCTGGGTCCTTTCCTGAACCCTCCCAGTACATATCCCCACCACCACTTGTACGGGGGTCAAAACAGGCCTGGGTGGCTGGAGGACAGGTGGACTGTGCTTCTCCAGTGGGCTCCATCAGGTAGGACAACCCACAGCCCAAATACTGACTAAGCTGTAGGTCATAATCTACTTAATTTCTGTTTCAAACTGTTTACATAAACATTTGACTACATTTATAGTAAAAAACATTGGCATGTTTGTTTTGTTTACATCATGTCTGCAGAGGTGAGAAAGTATGTAAGTGCAACACAGTGAATGCTTTGTGTGCACTGTTATCGGCATTTGTGTGTTTCACAGCATATTGCCTCCCTCTCTGAAAGGCAGGCTTTTCATTCCTATTTAGTTTGTTACGAGCACAGCCTGGCCTTAAGCCACATAATATAGGCAATAGCAAGGCATCAAAACTGGATTCATAATTTTCTCACTTTGAACATACTCAACATTTGTGACACTTAACTACACACAGTCATATACGTCACAACCAAAAGCAAATTACTGAGAATGACGTGATAATCAAGATTGTTTATTGTCATGTCATGTTCAGTATACTTGCACTATGGACAATAAATTGTGTTGAAATTGGATATAAATTGACAGTCTGACAAAGTTTTGAAATGAAAATCACGACGACCCATGTTTAAATTAGGTCCATATTCAGCGTATTTCTGTCATGAAATTAACTTTTCCCTATTCAACCTTACGTAATGCAGCCTTTATGCAAAATACTCAAACCAAATTGTACGAGTGGACCTGCTATGCAGTCAGCAGTAGAAGAATGTTGTTGTAATGGAAACAGTGGGATACAAAAATGTTTGTGTCTAATAATCTCTTTTCATATCATTAAAAATCTGGTAGTACTATTTCTGCTGTTCTGACAGTTTTATATCCAGTGCATATGATGGTATATTAATATGTGTTGTAAAATTACAAAATGTGAATGTATACTTTGCTGCATTTCATGTTTTGGGACAATAATATATTTATGATTTCAGAAGCAAATATCCTGCCTCAGCCTCAGTGGTATGTGGTCTCTCTGAAAGATCAGAAAAGATTCTGGAAGAATGGTAAATTATTAAGTTATAAAATGCTGATGCTGCATGATTAGGTTTTGATTGTTTGTATCTGTGTGTGTGTGTTTTGTATGTGGAATGACACTTTTTGTCCTTTGTGTCTCTAGGGGCTTCACTAACAGCCACACGGCTCTTTTAATGCTCAAGAGAGCCCAGAAGATGAAGTCAAAGAAGCAACAGGCGAAGAAACGGAGGGGTGAGTGTGTAGAAGTGTAAAATATGTATTTGAGCTTTGTCTTTGCAATTTCTTTTCTGGTGTGTGTAATATTTCAGGTTGAGAAATCACATTATTGTTTGCAAAATGAAGACATGCAAAGATTACAAAGGGTATGGTATATGGCAGAAGCTCTCATGGTTTACTTCTTAAATTTCCCTCATAGCATAAAAGGATCTGCTGTGAGGACATCAATTGTACTTTCTAAAAGGGAAAAAATCCACACTAATTGTTCCTCCTTTTCATTCTTGTCTTTGATTCTTCAACCATGCTTCAACAGCAGTGAACCTTTCCACCCCATGTACAGTAATGAGCCTTAACAGACAGCAGAAGCCAGGGCCTGTCACCTCTTATTGGACCTTATTTAAAAGCTTGCAAAGGAAATAACAATTGCCAAGAAACCTCTTGACAAGTCATCCTGTGATGATTTTCATTACGATTCATTGTAGTGGTTGAGTGCGGCTGAAGTTAAAGGTGACCTCACCTCTGCTCTGCTCCAAGAAACAGTAGTCCTGCCATGGTTATCATGCCATGGTCATGCAGAGGGAGCCTGCTCTTTGATCAGAATTGCAAATGCATGATTCCAATAGCAGGGCTCTTGTCATCTTGCTCCACGGACACACAGGTCTATGTCGGCACTAACTCCTAATGGCATCTGCCTCAGTGGAACCAGAACACTGTTTTAATATTTTCCGAATGTTAGGTCTTAGTTTTCTGCTTCTGGTTTTAGGCCTGCCTTGTCCTTCTTTGACCCTCTCTCTCTTACTCTCCTAGATCCCATTGTCCGTCTTGCCTTATTCAAAAACTGCAGTTACCAGCTGTGTCCAGTGGAGGCACCGAACAGGCAAGCACAATACAACAGAAATCTTATAAAAGGTAGGACATGCTACACATTTGGTTACCCTGTAGTAACACCTGTACAATAAATACTACTACTACTACTAAGTCTTTCTTGGTCTGACATGAACTTCTGTACAGACCGGTGCTGTAGACTACTGTAGAGTTCTACTTAATTAAAACTTTATGAAAAATACTATTTATTACTTTATTGGTATTATTTTAATAGTTTTGGCAATAGTTTCCATCAGTTAAAATAACATGGACAGTGATATCACTGCAATGAAGTCTGAAAGTCTGTCATGATTCTGGAAAAGAAAGATTTGCAGGGAGTGATCAGACAAACTGCACATACAAAGGTAAGACTCCCAAAATTTATTTTTAAAGTTAGGTGCACCCTTGGATATAAGCTATTTCGCTGGACACAAAATCTTCAAAAAACCCAATTGTGTACTTGTAAGTTTCTCAGCTTTCATATAGCTAAACAGTTTTTAACTTGCCACAGAGGACATTTAGTCTTCGTTAACACTAAATTCTTATTGTTATGGATCGTAAAACAATCTTCAAAATACTTTACAGGTTGATGTTGGTATAAAGTCTGAGAAGACGCAAAATTCTCCTTCCATCTTTTTTTTTTGCTGTGGCCTCCTGCCCTGCCCTGAGGTGGAGAGATGATTTGACATTGTGACATCCACAGCCAGACTTTAAAGGGAGGGAAGAGCTGGAGGGAGGGCAGGAGGGAGGACAGGGGAAGTCGGCTTTTATCATGAGGGCCTGTCTCTAACTTTCCTTTGCACCCCATCCCTACCCCCACCCACCAGGGTCAAGGCCTCACATCCAGAGAGCAGGACGCTCGCGGTCATCCAGCAGTCAAAGGGACGCTGGAACAACAGTGTTTGCCAACAGGCAGTGAAGTGCCTGGTGTCTCTCTGGTCCAATGCTGCCATAAGCATGAAATACCCCTAAATTAGCTGAGGAGAAACACAATATGTTTGGTTGTCATTTCATGTTGGTACACTTTGGAAAAAATGTTTAACAAATCAACTTTGGGATGTTTTTCGTTCCACTTTATCTGTTTTGGGTGGATTGCTTTAGTAATTTGTTTGTAGATAGTTGTGAAGGAGTAACCTTGTTTCGTTTACAAGTGATACATTGCTGTGCAGCCAAAGATCATGCAACAAGTTATTTCAATGTTTTGAAAGATTCAAAAATTTTTTTTGCAAAACTTACAAGGCACTTTCGCATCTTTAGCATCTGGTCAATGGCAGTTGATTGAATAACATGAAAAACTGATTTCAACAGCATTATGTTTTCAGGTGTTTATTTTGAACTGCAGGTGTATAATGTCGACTTTCCAACACTGGAATTGTGTCTGAGCACAATACAGCTGTGGATAAGCTCTCAGCCAACTGGCAGTCAGGGGCCGTTTCCATCCAAATGACCTATTACATTACAACAATATTTCCAGTTCATTTTTTTCCAGTATCCTTATCTCTCCTCTCCACCCTTGTCTTGATAATTCATCAAACAAGACTGGTGTTCTCGAGCAATGAAGTGAAGGAGCTACATCAGCTGATAAAGTAACGGGGGTCACTTGTTTAGACATCACCCTTCCCTCTCTGCTTAGTACCCCATGTCCTCAGTTGGTTTTCTGATTCGACGGAGAGGGATCGTGTAAAAGGTGTAACCTGAACCAACTCGGTTCTGGAGGAGACTACTCCTGCTGACTTTTTACAGGGTGACCATGAGGCAATGGCGACGGCTGTGTCAGACTTGTGTGTCTCTAACTGGCTTTTGGCGCTGTGATCCCGGGTGTCTGTAAATGGGCCCGAGCCAGCCTCCCCTCTTGCTCCCCTGGGCCTGACCTGTGGAAGACAGCCCCTCCTCCGGATCCGTCCCCCAGTGCCCGGGGCCTAGCCAGCCTAGCCCGGCCCAGCCAGTTCTCCCCGACAGGGGCTAACGTTTCAGTCTTTGAGTCAAGCCCCTTCTGGAGGTGATTAGCCCCAAACCCATGACAGATTCTTTCCAAGATATCCGACGCGGCGTGTTTATTTTATCCGGGCTCTTTGTGTGGATGTGCTGGACATGAGTAACCCACTTGAAATGGGTATCAGCTTACATACCCAGAGAGAGAGAGATAGAGTGGGAGAGAATGGAACACAGCCACAAGACATTTTATTTTAAAGGCAAAAAATATAGAAATATGCATCCCTTTTTTGAGATGGTTTGTCTCATCAAGTGTCTGTGTGCTGCAGATGTTGAACATGTTGTATGCCTCTAAGCATTTCTCCTTGTTTCTCCTCTTACTTTCTACCAACGCCTTCCACTCAACCCCCCCTCCCCAGCACACGCACTCTTCCAACCTCCCTCCAACCAAACTGAGATCCAACTCCACCAAACATCCGTCCTCATGTCAGAGGGACACAAGGGTATATATTTTTATTTTAGCTTGGAACCCCTACCTCCCGAGCACTTAACTCGATTTCACACTTCAAGTCATCTACAAAGTCCAACTGAAACACAATCATCTTGTTTATCATCCATCATCCAAAATAACTTAATGTCAGACTATTTACCACCATTCATATGCATTCAATTTCTCGCCCGGGCTTCCATTTATGTCAGGCAGTAGAGTTCTCTCTTCATAGTATATGTTTGAGATGCACTGGCACACTTAATGAAGAAACATGTAGAGCCACTGTACATTGGGGCAGCAGTAAAGATCCTCAAATTTCAGACACGCTCTGATTCTTCTTCCTCTCTCTCTCAAAGTAAGGGTTAGACATAGCATAAGTGTTTTTAAGTCTTTTGCCATGTTTCTAGTGTGTCAGAGTAGGTCTAAAGTCAGGTTTCACATTCTTAAGGGCAGGTCCAGTACAAGTACATAGCAGGCCAAGGTGCAAGTCTGTCAAGTCTCTGAATGCTAACCATTGACAAGATTTGTTAGTAGCATTTTTACATAGTTGACAAAGGGTTGTTAAATTGCCTAGGTCTAATGATTAGTATAATAAATATAATTAAGTATAATTTCAGTGTATCAAAACTTGTTTGTCACAACAAAATGTTGTCAACTCATTTCATGGCACCATTTCTTAATAAGGTCTACACTGGTCCTGATCCATTGCCTGACCCTACGTTGTTTATTTCTTGATGAGGTTGGATGGGCGGAGGCTCTAAAGTGCCAGCATCGTGTCTCTCTTTCAGCTCCGGTTTGCTGCTGCGGGTCAGAGCCTCCACCCTACTCCTCCCCAACTCTCTGATATTAAGTCAGAGTTTTCCCCTCCTCAGCCAGGGGAGAGGAGATCACTTAATGTACTTAAGAGCCCCTCTTAATAGGCGTGACTCCTACAGGCCCCCTCCTGATGTCCTGGAGGAGTACTGGAGGGGCATTCAGGAGGTTGGATGGGGTCAGGAGAGGGCTTTAGTTTTAGGGTGTGGGGGAGGAAAGGGATAGAAGAGTATCTCCATGCTACTGGAGTGCAACATAAATGTTAACTTTTTTCATTTTGTGTCCCTGTGTACACACTGAACATGTGTTTTCCTACACTATGCATTCACCTCCAGGGATTTCAAGGCTGTATTGTCAGGCTTTTTAGCAACTTTTGATCTATCCACATTGCTACTTTTGTTCTATCCACAATGAATCCTATGATATGACTGACATACAGTTTATAAAAACTGTGAACCGGCAGTACAGATCATACATACTGTGCTATACTAAGTACTTATATGAGCAAATTGCTGTTTAAAACATATTTCTCTAAGGGCTTTTCCAGACTGCCTGTGCCCTGTCTCTGTGTGTATTTTCAGCTTTGGGAAGTGTGAATAGCCATTTTCTGGCGTTTGCTGCCCCGGGGGGAAGCATCTATCACTTGACATTTTTAGTGTGGCTTCTCAATTAACCCATGAAAACTGTAAGGCTTTTTTCTCCTTTTTACAGCTCAGCAAAAGCAAGTAAATGACTTAAATAAATGCATCATTAGTTCCAGCATTGGGCTGTCAAAATTCATTATCAGTTTACACCCATCTACGGCAGCATTACTGTCAGCCCAACATAAATGTTTACATTGAATTATGACCTTATTATGGGATTTCAGCATAACTTGTAAATCAGCAGTCTTTCAGATTTCTTTCTTTAACAGTTCGAACATTGCTTGGATTTAACTTTATAAAGAACCACAAGCCTCAGCAATTGTTGGAAAAAGCAGATCCTCTCTTGTTGCATGTTTCAGCAACTTTAAATGTATTATGGTAATGCCCATGACTCCTCCAAACAAATACACCACCTTAAGCCCAAACATAAATGCTGGGATCTTTGACCCAGTGCTGGGAACCCTTGCCGGATGTATTTACTGTGAAACTTGTCAAACGTTGCTACAGATCAGGCCCATGAGCTGTTCATCTGTTAAGCTTATACTCTGGTGAGCATCTGTTAACACAACTCCTTCACTGTATTGATTACGTCTCTTGTCGTCTCTTGAAACATGCCACCTTCACCCCAGCTTTTGCTGATTAGGCAGCGCAGTCATTCTTTGCCACCACTGTCATCAAGAATGTTAAGAGGTGTTGAAGGAAAGAAAATTGCCGGTAACATTTATTGTATGTTTTCTGTCGATTGTAGTTCGCGAGGTTGAGCTGGGCCTGCAGCAGGCAGAGAAGACGGAGCGAGCTCAGCAGTGGCTGCACACCCAGGCTGCTCACTCTGACAGGGACTCAGAGAGGTGAGGCACTTAATGTGGTCCATACGTTGGTGTATCTGGTGTGTTGTGGATCTAAAATTGGTTTAATTGTTTTTGTTTTACCCCTGGAAATATCTAGCCATTCACATAGATTTGCTTTTATCTGTTCAGGTTTTGAAGTTATCTGTCACCACAAATTCACTTCTATTGTATTGGGGTGGTGGAAGGAATTTCAAAGACGGATATCTCAAAACCTGGGTAAATAAAACCAAAACTATTTACAAGGCTAATGCCAGTAGAGGTAATATGTTTTTTGTAATTTGGGTAAATTGATCCATTAATGGGCTGCTGGCATCTTTTTCATCATATTTCTTAAATATGTCTTATGTTTTAAGACATAAAAATATTCTGCTTGGATTTATAATTTATTTATATAAATATATAATAGTCTTTTCCACAAAAAGATTCATTACCCCTTTAAACATTCTTCTACATCTCTGCTCCTCCTTTCTCGCTGAATAATCCAAAATCAATGAATTTGCAAATATTTTCTATTTCAAAATTACATCACTACACACAAGATATTTCCTACTTCACTACAATGTCCATTTCTTAGTGTATGTGTATCGAGATGGTATTGAAGCTTCAAGTTTCCACATCACGCTATAAGTTGATTGGCTTTCAAACTAGTTGTCACAAAATCTTCTCCCTCCATCTTTCTTGTGCCTGTAAGTCTTAAACTCTAAGGTAAACACTTTTCCCCATTCAGCAGATTAATTTGAAAACAGACTTCGACAGACATATGATTCTTCTTATATCATTCTGCAAAGTGGTCAAACATCCAAGTGTTTAAGTAAAACAAATTCCTGAGTCGATGGAGACTCAAGAATATTTTTTTATTTGTAGTAATGAATATTTAACAGTGGTGAGTGGGTTTTATAATTTTATTTTTATTACAATTGTCTATGCTTATTTCTCTCAACTTAATTAGCTGGCAATTTTCAACGTGGTAAAGCGGAATTGTTTGTACGGTACTATAAAAAATATCACCAAAATGCCTAAAGAGATAGAGCTGACACTTTAGAATAACCACTGTATATTGAAACACATACCAATTATAATATAGACATGTAGCATTATCATACATGTTATCTGTGTTTATTTTATGATATGTCAGAGGTAATTGTATAGAACTGAAGAGGGGAAACTGCTGAATTGACTTGAAATATGCAAAGAGCTAACAGCCCAGATGTTTGGACTTTTTTCCCCGTTATCATATCCTCAGCGTGCATTTCTTACCGGAGATCAGCTCAGACATTCTGAATGGAGGCAGAGTGCAGCTTGTGGTGAGTACACTCCCCTCTCATTTCCCTTGCAGTTCATTCACTTCATAGAATGACAGCGAATCTTGATTTTGAATCTGGGGGGCAGTTGCATATATGTGATGGTATGCAGTATTTACATTCACCAGTCAGAGTCATGTCCCGCGCTGTAGGTTCCCTCCCCTGGAGCCTGTCTCATCAGGCTCGATTTAAAAGAGGCAGGGGGGAGGTGAGTCTGAGGTTTAGCTCCACAGTGACGCTTTCAATTGGATCAACTGGCTGCAATTTCTTCATTTTACTTGCAGAAATCCCAGTGTCACTTTGGAACAGTTTGCCTTGACCCGAGAACGATACTGATGCTCATGAGGTCTTTGAAGTTGGAAACTGCAGGTCTCCTTGTACTGTTACAGAGCAGTTTGAGTTATGATCACTGGCAAGGGGACCCGCCCCCCTCCCTCCTGTTTCTTAGATATGTTCAGACTGCAGAGCTGCAAGTTGTTGAATGTTTTTCAAAATGCTGGACTGCTTGCGTGAGACGTGTCATGTTGGGCCTCATTTATGTGTGTGTGTTTCTGTCTTTCCATGTGTGGTGCGTGCAGGCGGACTCAGGATACACAGAACCTCTACATTACGCCAGTGGATTGTGGGCCAACAACAGTTTAGCTGCCCAGTCTTGCAAAGACAACAGTTATCCTCGCAGAAACACTTTGAATCATGCAAGTGAGTCTTGTGATCTTCACAGCCATTTTCCCACCAAAATCACTTTATTTGGCATTTTTAACTGTACTTTAAACAAAATACGACACAACATTCATAAAATGTTCTGAAACACAAGCTTCATCTATCTCCCTAAAGTAAATCATTTGTGTCACTGACTCTACTTCTAACTTTATCTCATAATAACTTGTTATCCAGATAAACAGAAATAGATAAATTTATTGCAAATGCTAAATGTAAAGGTTATTAACTTTCCTGGTCAGGCATTACTAATGGAATATTATTTTACACGTAGTCACATACCGTATATATGATTGAACAGACAGTATGCTTATATAACATATCCAGTATATACTGTATTATGCAAATGTATTATTTATTGCACTTATTATTATTTTAAGCTGACATTTATCCGAAGAAGGTTAAAGTCAAGTGCAACTGGACTTGGTTGAAGTTACTAGACATTTATAAAAAAATATACCTGTTTTTGATAGAAAATTTGACAACAGAAACTGAAGAGTAACTAAGTAAAAATACTTAACCAACTTTACACAAAATTGGTATTCCAGTATGTTTGTATAGATAGACTGGCCAAAGTCAAACTTTCTCAGCAGTTTCATACTAAAACCTAACTAATCATAGATTGTGATTGTCTGCATATATTTGTGTGCACGTGTGTGTATATACCTGTACATTCAACACATGTGTGCACAGATATTTCTGTATTTGCACACATGCACCCATGGGTCTTGGGTCACATAGACCTGAGTGCGCCTAGGCAGGGATAAAGGCTGTTGCTTATTCAGCCCACCGGTCGGCTGCTTCGGGAGGGGAGGGGAGGGGAGCCACAAGGTCGGGCCGGGGACAGAGTGCCGTGAATTTCTCCTCTGACAGGAAACGGGCAGAAAGAAAAAAATAAAACAGTCCTTTCAGTGAAGAATGACTGGCCTTTCTGTCAGGAGAAGTGGGGCTCAGGATTTTGAGTGACAAAGATGCTACTGACAGGCTGAAAGCAGATGACCACATTAAACAAGCCCAGGAATCTAAGTGAAGGAGAGCCCTGTCCTTGTTAACGAAGCCAAATTGGATTCCGATGATGATTTCAGAATGATATCCACGAGGTGCAGCAGCAGTAGGAGTGTCATCGGGCTATGCAGGCGGACTGTTGTTCCCCTCAGGAGTACAGACAGGAGAAAGAAAGCCTCTTTGTCTGCACTGAAAACACCACTTATCAAAATTGTCTAGTGCAAATTGAAATATGAATGTATGTGTAAGGCAAGAGCATTTCTCAAAAAGCCAATTAGATATTTCATAAACTTGGAAATGCCATTTAATGGTGTCCGTGGTACATCATCAAAAACTCATATGAGAAGAAATGGGTTACCTGGGTAAACAGGTATTCAGGAAAATAGGAATGCAGCTTCTTTGACAAAAATCTTTTTATAGCCCACACAAGTCAGTAAAAACAAACATTATTCATCAAAAATGTGCACATCCTTTGCCTCTGAAGTGGCATGCATACATCAAAGTGAAAGTTTAAAGTGAAAAGGTTTGCTTAGTTTGCCATAGCAGTAAAGCCTACTTAAATACTCTATAACCTACTCTATAACCTATTGCAATGTGATACCCACCACTTGCTGGGACAGTGCCATAAAATGCGATTCTAGGCCCACAAAATATTTTCATTACTTGTGCAGAGGAAACCACTTAAGTTGCATATCTGCGCCCTCAATTTTGTCCGCTGTTCAACTCTAATAGGAGTAAAATGATCGAAAACAATTAGTTTGGTCACAGCGGTTGGGTCAAATGTGTGGCCATTTGTTTATCTCTGTACTTCTAATAGCATGACTGCACAACTTGTGTTGAAATGAGCAACATGTGTGTCAAGTTTTGCATAACTGTTTTTGATTTGGAAAAGATAATTGGACAAAAGTCTTTAATAAACTAAGTTCAGCCCCCAACACTGGCCAAAAATTTCTAAAAATAAACAGAAAAGACTGTGGTGGTTTAACTTTAAATGGATTTATACAAATCATGAGGAAAGGAAAAGCACAGCGTTACACTACGGACATGAGTTCAATCAAAAACTAGAGAGGTACGATTAGGTATGACTTGTGAGTGCATGGATATTCTACACAGTGTGCCAGCTGTGCAGACATTTAGAGCTAGGTCAGTACCTGCGATGCGTCCTAGGCCCCCCATCTCCTCCAGAGCCCTCCCCACTGTTTGTCTCCCTGTGTGGGGAGGCCGTGGAGACCGCAGGCCTGGGCTCTACACGTGGAAAGCATAATTCCCAGCAGAAGCGCTGCCTTTGTTCTGTGTGTTTGAAAAGCTATGTGCTGATCCCCCAGGTGGAATGGAAGGGCCTCTGATACAACACGTATCGCTCCTGGTAGATGGAGCACACAAACAAAACTTACCTGCTCAGACTTTACAGTGAGATTTAATATAGTGTTGTCTTTAGTCTCCTGAGACTAAACTTCCTTAATATAATAATATAATTTAATATATTTCCTAATGTGACTTTTTTAAATACTTAATTCAAATCCCTCGTTGTAACAATCTATGTGTTAGCAGTTTTCTTGAAATCAATAGAAAAGCTTCAAGATTTTATTACCCAACGTGAAATAATTTCTTCAGATTTCAAAAGCTAATGCTTTGAGAATTGGCAGTACTGGCTGGTTAGCAAATAATGAGAGCAAATCTTCAATATATATGTTTCCATGAAACCACGTTTTTACTTGGTCCTTCCAGGGAAAATCCTCAGGTCTACAAGAACTCCTACATTATTTTGTATTAGAAGGCATAGGTAGCTCTTCAAACCTATTTTATAATGTTGGTTATTAATAATCCATGTCATCAAGGACCATAACATGGCTGAGCAGACAGAAAGAGCAGACCTGGTCAGCAACAAGTGACTACAAAATACACAGCAATGAGTGCTTGGCATCAAATATATAATTTAAATAGCACAAATCATATGAATTAGGATTTGAAGTCTATGACAGATTGATTTCACACTGCTCAATTTACATGTATTTTCCTTCTATGTTTTTAGGCAAAGAGGTTCCATCTCCTAAGCGAGTCACGTCTGCTCCGTCAAAAAAAGAGCGCATCTCCTTCCGAGACAACCCTGTCCAGCTGAGCGGCGGCTGGGGAGGTGGCAAGAAGAGGGACAAAGTGTACAAGTAAAATGCAAGCTATTCTACAACCACATCACGTTTTTCCCTGTCCTTAACTAACACCCAGAGCAACATAAAGCCAGATACATTTTTATATATCCCTACAAGGAATGCATCAAAAAACAAAAATTAAATCACCCAATTTAAACTAATAGATTTCAGTCTCACAAGGCAATTTTTCCATCCATGAAGACTCTTTATTTTTATTTATAATGCTGTTTTATTGCCTGAACTGAATCCCCCTGCAGCTGTTCTTTTTAAACTCAGCTGAAAACTTGAGCTCCCTCTCCTGAAAATTAGAAGACCAATAAGACCTGGACCAGCCCAAATATCTTCAGGCAGTTCCATTATGTTGATTCTGCGCAGGTGTCACTGCCTGAATGTGATCGTAGCTAACCAGTACCAAAACACATGGACAAAATCACAAACCTTTAGAAAATGGTACCCTTCATATGAAAATCATGGCAAGAAATAAGAACCAGGACCTCCAATACCTGTGGATTCATGTTGCTTAGGATGTTGAACTCATAGTTTGTAGCCATGGGAAAAGACTTGTGTTTTCCACTTCTCCTGTGCTCTCTTAAGAGACTTCAATAAAGCCCAGAGATTTAAGTGCAATTTCCCAATTATGTGGCTATATTTAGCTCATGCTCACCAACAGTGGGCTCGAAATTACTGCTTCTATGAGCCGAGCACAAACATTGGTGTTAGAATTAGAATGATGTTTTTTTTATTTTCAGCCGTGGATTATAATGGGCATGTCTGTGTATTTGAATTTGGAGAGCTAAGGCGTCTGTCCGCAAACACTGCCCAACCGGAGGCGGTGAACCTCAGGCTTAGAGGTTCCTCGCTGGTCCGCCGCCTGGAATTGATAACTTAATGAATGTCAAAACAAATAGTCAGAGCTGCAGAGTGGCTCCCTGGCAGGAAATGCATGTCTATTTATTTTTCTTTTATCTTTCACTTACACATGTCTGGAGGGTGTGTTTTGACAGTACATGAGCTGATGGGGATTTTTGTCTTGAGAGTGGCGTATGTCTGAGATGTGGTGGTCCTGCCCTCTCAGGGGCTGTTGTGAAACCCAAGAGCACTATCCTCCTTCAGGGGGAGACTGATTCTTCAGGCTCTGTGGGGGACATCAAGGGGAGGTTTCCCTGTCATCTAACTGTCATTACAAAGCTGTGATACTGGATAATTCTGATTTTTATTGCACATACAACATAAACAAACCGGTGACATGAAAGTACTGTAAATGCATATTTTGTCACTGCTGTTTTGTTTGACACAAGTTCAGATTTGCCCTAACTCTATAGAGAGTTCTTCTCTACAACTGCTGCTTCTGAAATTATATTGATAAACTGTCGTCCACCAGTCTTCATTACATTTGTTTACTTTCGGGTTATGGGTAAATTATATGTAACCTAAGACATCCAAAATCCATTACTTGTTGAAATGAGTGCTCCACCACACATTCAGATAAGTTGAAGAATGTCCCTCTTAGCCCAGACTACCCTGCCAGCCTGACCTCAAGTCAGCACGGAGTCATGCAGAAAGAGGTTTTGTATCCGAATCCCTCTAAGTACTTTCTTCAAATGCTTCAAATTATATATAATATACATTTTTGCTGACCATTTTTGAATGCATGCTACAGCTTGATTTTTTTGTAAACAATTCCAGTCAGCTATTGGTTTCCATTCATTTCCATATGTTTGAAAATGAATTAGCAGACTCAAAAACTTTCTTGAGTTGTGTAATTAATCACAGTGAATATCAAGTCTGCGTTAGTTTTTGTCAATTTTATGTTGTCACTGCGTGGTAGGGCACTTTATATAATACAAAAAATGATTTATCTTTGGAAAAAAATTAATGCAGAGTTTCGAGAATGTTCTGTTTGATTTTTATATAAATGAATTGAAGCCAATTGTTGCTGTGGAAAGATAATACCATTTCTAAAATAATACAGCGAGGCTTACAGGATGATTAGCTGCGATAAAAAACTGACAGCACTATACTGAAGCATATTGTGCAGCAATAGCGACACAGTGGAGGGCATACAATAGACAGTCTAGAGTACGTGTGTGCAAGCAGAATGACATACTAACTGAAATGTGGTTGTACTATAGGAGGAGGAAAGCTGATTTGAAGGTATAGTATTGTGCTATTTATTAATCAAATAAATAGTAAATCATAAAAAGACCAATAGAGTGATTAGGATTGGAAGGAAATCTTTAAATGGAAAATATTTGTATAATTGTTCACATATACTGCGTTTTTACTGAAGTCTCAGCACTGGAAATCCTAAAATAACAGTAACTCCAAATCCCACAAACACTTACTGATAAAGACAAATAACAAAAGAGTTATTTTCTTTCTATTCTTATTTATTTCTGCCTCATGACAATTAACCAGCTCTTTTAGCCAAGGTAAAGAAATGGGAAATGGATATAAACTCTGAGGAATGTGCAAGCTTTCTTGGAAATGTGAACCCAACTTACAGAGAAATTGGGAATACACTCACACAAGCAGAAACTATTCAACACTGAACTCTGGTAAATGTCAAAGCTAATTTAATCCCTGAATGACAACTGCTGGTTTATAAATATGATTTAAATGAAAACAGGTCACAGTTGCTCTTTTCACAAAATTGAGGCAGGGCTGATGCCCCAGGTAGCAAGCCTTGAGAAAATTACCCCTAGAGGTTTAGACAAATTGAAAGATTATTAACATAACGGAGATTAAGGTAAAACAGAATCACTTCAATTTGTTAGATGTTACAAATATGTACATAGAGGACATTTAAAAGTAAGTACATGCATCTACATGTGCATGCATGTGTCTTTCAATTGTGTTTTCATAATAAAGTCTGATATATGAAATAAATACATGATATTCTTTGTATTGCTGTGAGAGCTGAGATTGAAAATAATTGATCAGTAGCATGATTTATTTTAGCCTGTTTGATTTTTGTCTTATTAGTGTGTAAATGATAAACAGCAAGTTCTTTTTGCTACTGGATTCAGTAATTATTATAAAACCAACTGTTGACCCTCTTCCTTCTCTTTATATGTTTTGTCTAATTTTGTCTTTTAAATGAAATGAATATTAAAATGAAAAATATCAAAGCTAAAACCAAGCACTCATTGAGGCTTCTAGATGTTTTCTATGTTTTGGTAAGACCTAAATCTGTTGTTTATTTTAACATTGAAAACATGAAGAAAACATGTTAAACATAATGCTAACGGGCATTTAAAATGTGATAATTTGCGGGGTCACCATTCTTTGATGCTGTATGCTGCATTGATAATATATATGTAAAGCAATTTTTAATGAGAAAATATTGTTAAAATATGAGAAAGAAGTGATCTGAGAAATGAGAAAATAATCGTATTGTTATTAATATTTGCTTTAGCTTTGTATCACAGCATCTAGATTTAGTCTGACAAACCTTGCTGATGGGTTAGTTCTGGTTTCGACATGAACCCAGATGACTTAGTCAAGCAACTGAGAGCTGAGGTTGCTCAGAGCTCAGGAATGCCTGACTCCTGGAAAAACATATGACAAACAAACAAAATATAAACAAACTTTTAAGGCACAAATGCGCTGCTTTCACTTTTTGATATTGAGCTTTTTGAACCAAATGTTCTGCAGGCTCAAATGACATTCATAAGCTCCACAAAATTTGTGCTTTTGGGGAAAATTAACTGATGGTTGTTTTTGTGTTTCGTGGCAGTTTGAAGTTGTTTCAATATATTGAATTAGACCCAAGGGTGGCTTTAGGCAAGATGATGTCATGTTGCTGCCTTCTGAAGTGGCACGTTTGGCCTGGTTTGGTTGTATTGGACTGTGATCAGTCACATTAAGACTGAAATGAATTATAGTTAGTTCAGTTCAATCATATTTTGACCATGATGAATGCCAAATAATATTATAACAAACTGGCAGAATATGTTTTTATTAAAAGTGAAGGTGTAAATCTTTCCAGGTGGCTCACATGACATATTGGCTGCAGCACTTCAAGAATTAGTCTGACCGATCGGCCTAAAGGTGACCAAACCCTCCAACTTCACAGGCCAATTCAGCATGTATTGTGGCAGGAATTTCCAGCCGAAGACCCACCAAACCACAGTGAACTTTTCACATTTTCTCCTCAGCGTGAGTCAGTGTGCGAGGTCATCTTAGAAGACCAATAAGACACCCCCCTGCAACTTAAGAGCACCTCTGTTTATTTTTATTTTTTCTCCTGTGGCACCATGAAGCTCCAGGTAACTGCCACTGACCCCAAAGCGAACCAAAGCTAGGCATGGTGTGCATTGCAGGTGGTGTGGCTCTGGGTGGAGATGTGGAGGTGGGAGATAGGCTTTGGTTAGTGGTAACATAATTCCTCCAATAAGAAGAAATAGAAGAACAGCTCTTCCTGTCCTTTTTGCAAAAGTTCCCATTGAGCAGTATGTGTTTGCTCTTGAGGGCTGCTGGGTTCAATGAAACTCAACTTACCTGCATGAAGATGATGTGGTCTTTAATTTAAGCAAGAATACCTCAATACTTAATTTACAAGACATTTTAATGTCAGATATTAATTACTAATTTGATGTTATTCATACAATATTTTCACAAAGGATTAATGGCCAAAGCTGAGAGAAATACACTGTTACTGCTCACTAAGCAAAGGGCACTGGTCTTGTTTAATTTAATGTGTGGTTAGGCTTTTTGCTTTTGTTACCACTGAAAAAAAAAAAAATGCCATATTGACTCATTGCTTGTTCTCAGGACAAAATCTTATCAATAATTTTGTAAAAATCTGACCTAAAGCGCCAGTCTATAGAAGAAGTTTTTTATAGAGAATAATTAGTACTGTGCTGGGATGGACATGCGCCAAACTATCGAATATCTTGAGATCAGATTGTCAAACTAAAGAACTGAACTTTTTTTTTTTTAAGTTCTTCGGGGCAACTCGGGAATCTAATTTATAGTTTAGGACGTACTGGACATTGGCGAAAATAAATCTCTGAACGTGAACATTTTAGGCTAATTTTTTGTCTTTGCGTGTCAAAATGTCAAAAATAAAATATCTTTAATTAAAATCCTTTTGGAGTGCGAAGTCTGAAGCATGCCTGCAATTTTAATTGTTAAATAACAATTAAATCATAAATCTAATAGTGTACGCATTTAAAATACGCATTTATAGAACTAACAAAAACAAAATAAATTTTCCCAATTAAACGTTAAAATGTAGCTTATTTGCTTTTCTATACAGATTTGTAAATATTAAATTATTGACATAAAGCTTTTATAGGCTTGAAATATAGCCTACGATTTAACAAAATTGGCAGGGCCTAAATAAAAGTAAAAGGCTATAAATCAGTTTGCCTAAAGGCCATAGGATAATAATTAAGATAAATTAAATATATGTTTTCCCCCATGCTTTCATTTTAGGGCATGTTGCTATTCACTTTATTCCGGTACCCCAAAAACGAAATGAATCAACAGCAGAGACCAGCGACCTTGAGTATACAGTGATCAGATTAAATCCCATTTGCAGTCACAACTTGTAGCTGTAGATAAATTATTGCCTCATTCTGGATGTCTAAACATGTTGTAAATTAAAGTCACTTTTGATTGTTTCCTCCCAAAGTCGTTGCGGATCTAGAATCTCTTCAAACTGCTGTTTGGTTTGGATTCAGGTCGTGGGAGGAGTTGGGTGCTGTTTCATATTCAGAGAGGAGGGGGACTCTTTAAGGATCTCATTCTCTTTGGGGCTATAAAGACGTTGTGCCTGCAAGACAGAGCAAATTAACTCCATTGGCGAATTATTGCATTACAAGGCATTGCTCCGCTCATCGGTGCGCGACGACGATTAGTTTCTTCTTCTTCTTTTTTTTATGGTGACATTTGATTAAAGCGAGCGGATTACAGTTAAGATGATGGAGTATATGGAGGATAAGTTTGCGTTGAAAAGCCAATCGATGAAGGCAAGCGATTACTACATGGACCAAGTCATGGAGAGCCTGGACAGCGCGCAGTACTTCACAAAGACTTCCCCGAAATGTGTGCAGGCCTTCGGGCTTCAGAGCGGCGAACACCGCTCCTCGCCCTGCGGAGACCAAAACGGTGCGTAAAAACACCTTTTGAAACTTTTTGTGCATCAACACTTAAGTCTTCATCTGTGTGCGAGTTAAGGAGAAAAGCTTGAGAGAAATGTCGTTTCTTTTTTTGTACAAACCTTTTCTGTTACATTTATGGCGTTCAGTTAATCTCATTACATGTGGTTTCTATTGCAATAATTTTACGTTTTCGCTATTCAAATTTCTTAAAATCTTTGTTTATATTTAAAACAAACACACATAAATCATTTTAGTGTTAAAATGACCTATAAGAATAATAGACTATAAGAATAAGAAGTAATGTGAATTGTACAGATTTATTTTTATGCACTGTCACGACAATTGGAAATGTATTGTTATTCATTTATCACTTTCACTTCATTCTAGCCAATTACGCTGGGCCAAAAACAGACGACGACACTTTGCACTCGGACCTCGGGAGGACGATGGACAATTGTTGCACTGTTCGGGCGTCTCCGGTGACAACTGGACAGGAGAAAACGGATTTGGACGACATGGGAGACAAGTGCGACAGTAACGTGTCCAGCAGCAAGAAAAGGAGACACAGGACGACCTTCACCAGCTCGCAGCTGGAGGAGCTGGAGAAAGTCTTTCAGAAAACTCACTATCCAGATGTTTATGTGAGGGAACAGCTGGCCATGAGGACGGAATTAACAGAGGCCAGAGTGCAGGTAGGCCTACAATTATCACCAGACTCTTATTTTGTTAACGTTCACGTAGGCCTGTGGAGAAAAGAAACCATAAAATAAAGAAAGAAGGAGTTTAGACGATAAAACATAAATGTGGAGAAATAGCTACGTTGCTATGCCAAACAATTAAAATAATCAATGTAGCTCAAATAAATGCACCACAAAATATGTTTAGTAATTAAAACAAATCATCAACACACACTTTATTATTAAACCAATGCAAAAGTAATGTCTTTTAATTTTAGGCTGCTGTATCTCTTAAATTATTATTTATTGTTTTGCCAGAATTTGGTTTGACTTATTCAATTTTCTCTTCTTTTTTTTTTTTTTTTTTTTTTTTACAATAAGGTGTGGTTTCAGAACAGAAGAGCAAAGTGGAGGAAAAGAGAGCGCTATGGGCAGATCCAACAAGCCAAAACTCACTTTGCAGCCACCTATGATTTATCAGTGTTACCAAGGACCGACAGCTACACACAGGCAAGTTGTGTTCACTTTCTCAAAGTCCTCTCTTCTAAAATACTCAGTTTATGTAAGCCACAACAAATGAATGTTTTTTTTCTGCGTAAATCAGAGCATGTAATTGCTGCTCTATAAATCACTTCTTATAAAACCCATCTTCAGATAAGAAGCCAAACACTGATTAGAGTCTCTGTGAGGTGTCATGGCTGAAATGAATGGCCTTATATCAGATTTCATGTTAGTGGAACATTCATCTTGCTGTTTGGACAAAGGTCAGGTACAAAATGAGGTGAGAGGAGATGCAGAATGTCAGTTCCTCCTTTTGGTAGGTGTTCACTATCAGACACTGAGATTAGGCCTCCAACCCTTTTAGGGTTTTCAGATGGAAATGTGCTCCTCCTTTTACTCCTGCCACAGGGTGTGTGTTAATATTTTAAGCTTACAGAAAGCAGCTTTAGTGTTGTATTCAAAAAGGTAGAATTGTAAAAAGAAAAAAGAAAAGAAAAAAGCAGGAAAAGTCAGAGTCACAGCTTTGCTATGCCCTGGCCCAAGACCAGGTCAGAAATCTCTTGGACCGTCTCGTATTTTCTTCGCACATGTTTCTGATAAATACCCCTGGATACCAGCCATGCCCTTTCTTACAGCTGATCCAGATTACTGTCATTAAATGGACAGTCCTACATGTAATTGTGCTGGCAGTGGGTTTTTTTTGTCTCCCTGCACACAGTGGACATAGATTGCATTCTTGTGGGTTTTAAAGAGTTTTGTTTTGTTTTGTTGACTGTGAGGTTTTGGCCAGAAGTTTTGCTTTTTGGGCAAAGACAGTGGCTCGTTTATGGATGGCACATGTTGTCAAGAACATGTTGGCCAAGCGGATTCTCAAGCTAAAACCATACTTTTGTGGTACCGAAGAAGTTTATCTAACTGTCAAAGAGGACTTTTACTCTTTACCAAACAACTATTGGTTTGTGGTATTTGATTTTCTTTTTTACTGTAAGCTATAATTTAGCAAAAGGTATTGTCCTGTGCTGAGCAATAGCCAGCTATTCCATCTATACACTCCAGAAAAAGACACTCCAGTATATTTGTTAATTGATGTAAAGTACATGGAACTTTTTTGGCACAATTATTTGTTTTTATATTTCTTTAAATATCACATACTATTTATGAGGTAGAAAGCTATAGTGGCACATTTCAGTGACTTCAGGAAACAAATTCATTTGCATGCTACTTGAAATCTGTCAGTTTGATTGAAATCTTGGCAAATGAGACCAAATGAACTGCCACAGAGTGAATGAAGTCATTTGAATGTGACTGAGCCGTCAGTTCAAGACATGCTGCTCTGTAAACTGTAGCTCCTGCCTTCAAAATCTGCCATGTTGTGTTTACTGTATTCTGACCAGGTGAGATTATATCACCTCTCTGTCCTCTTTGTTATCTAATAAAATTCCAACAGAGGATGCATGACCCTTTTTATGATACAATTTTAAATTATGTGAACTCCTCTAAAATCATATCTTTGGAATTGTTTGGCTTTGTGTGCGTTCAGATGACATTTAACCATCGACCCTTAAAGGGTCACTTCATCAACCTGTTTTCTTAATTGCTTCAAGTGTTGTCTTGCCATGCTGATAGTTTCGGGTTTATTTGTCCAGATTTTGAGTTATCTGTCTCACAATTAGAAAAATAAACTGCAACATCTCTGTACACAAACAGTGTCTGCTAATCTGGATAATCCACACACATTGCAGTTTTCACAGGGGCTATTTCTTCTGTAGAAAGTAGTTCCAGTGTATACTGTATATGTGTATGGACATACAGATATGGTTATGGTGAATCAAGCATGGTGTACTGGAGAAGAGATGTGTGATGTGTTTTGATTTTGATGGACAGATAGATATAGCCTATCATAACCTGGGCAAATAAAACCAAAAGTCACTGCATGCCCAGATACCACTAGAGTAAGCAATATGGGTGAAACAACCCATTACAGTTTTCACTGTGTATGTTAGAAATGTGCATGTTTGTCCACTGTTAAACTTTTAACACAATATTACTTCAACAGCTACGTTGCATGTAGCAACACATCAGTGACTAAATTCAAACTACGTCAGAGCATTTTTCTTTTAAAAAAATCTGCTTATTTCTGTATGGATCCTCATTCTCCCCTTAAACCCTCTTTCACCCAACAGATTCCTAACAACCTGTGGCCGAGCCCTGCTCCCGGTGGCTCTGTGGTCTCCTCCTGCATGCTGCCCCGAGGCTCCCCTCCTTGCGTCACTTCCTACTCGCACTCGCCTCGTTCAGCTGCCGGTGCCGCAGACCACAGCTACGTGGGCTTCCCCAATCAGCAGAACCAGTTTGGTCATGTATCCCTAAACAACTTCTTCAGTGCAGACTCCCTCCTAACACCAGCTGCCAACGGCCACCATGCCTTTGAGACCAAGCCCGAGTTCGAGAGGCGCTCGTCCAGCATCGCTGTGCTGCGCATGAAGGCCAAGGAACACACGGCCAACATCTCGTGGGCCATGTGATCAGGGCTGCTGTGCATGTCTGGAAAGTGTGGATAATGTATGGAAAAATATTTTTAAGAAGTTTTTACCAAGTGTGGGAATTGTCCAAAGAGTCTGAAATCATGTTCAAAAAAACTCAATCCAGATATAACAAGACCATCTAGTGATACTAGCCACTTATTTGTTGTGAATAAAAATCTGCTGTGGAGTGAAATGGCCAATTTCACATAATACTGCCCTGCTATTTACATCTGCGTCATTTGTAACTCATTTTATTCACTGAGTCACTAAAATAAGGTCTGGATAAAGTACCTAAATGGAAAATAAGTGAGGATTTGTGGTTTTCAGCATTTTCTAAAAGTTGCAAGTCAATAATCTAAAGCTATGAACTAAAAAATAAATTGCCATAATGCTTTGTGACAGACACAAACAGCTGTGTTTCTGGTCTGAGGCAGATCTACAGTAGGGTGGACTGATACTATTAGTAAAATACAATGAAGTAGTCAAAGACACTTTTGAAAGGTGGAGTTTTTCTAGACTTTCATGTAGCTTAGCTAAAGCGATATATACATATCATTCATACTTTCAGGGTAATGTCCAGTGCATTGTTTTACAGCCCACAAACTGTTGTCCTTTCTGGTCAGACCAGATGGTTGATGAACCCTTCGGTGGAGGTGAGAGCTCTGATATGAATAAGCTTTCTTTGTTGTTGTTTTTTTATGGAGGTTGGGAAGTCCTCAGTGTTTCCTCTTTATCGAGACAGAAAGAAAGTGTGAAAGGCAGGGGAAGCAAGTACAACTCCAGGTGCCTGTGGGATTGGATCCCCGTGTGGGTACATGTGGATCCAGAGGGAGGGGTCCCAAACCACTATAGCATTTCTAAGCACTGTGAATAAGCTTCCTTTACCTGCGCCTTTTATCTTCCTCCCTCGTTCCAGCTCAGGACTGAAGATGAGCAGCATTGAGACAAACTGACTCGACGTACTGAGGTGTCTGTGTGCTTTGCAGCAAAGCTCTGTAATATCTGTCGTCTGCCTCTGTTCTGTATCACAGGTACAGGACGCAGGCAGAAGAGGCAGGTTTTAAAATAGTATGTTTTGTAAATTTATCTGGTGGAAGCATAATAAATGAATGTCACTTCACTCCATCGTTGTCATCATGACTGCACTTTTTTGTTAAAATTATAGTGTTTAAAGGATAAGTGTGGTAAATTTTTGGATTTTTATTCTCAGCAAACCTTACGAAAAGACCAAAACCAATATGAATTGATCTGTGAACATGAAGTGTTTGTCTGTAAATCTAAAGTCTGATACATATTATATTCCTATAATATATATTTTATTCCTCCTCATTCTCTAAAAAACTAAAAACACATCATTATGCTACACTGTTCTTTCATTACCATGGATGGGAACTGTAGTTTATTTTTATTCAATCCCAAATACACCACCCTGCTGTAAATACTCACTAGAGCAACAAATGTGTACTAATCTGCAGCTGAAAATACTTCATAAACAAAAAAACACTATTTGCTTTTTTTGAGTAACATTTGCTAAAAACTGTGCCCAGATATTCCCAATTACTTCGTATAAAGATTTTACGTGTTCGTGAGGCATGGTCTTGCTCAGTGGCACATAACTACACCACAACATTTTTTATTGTTTATTATATGGTCAATTATTTATTGATTCATTGAATTGTTAATTATTGTTTAGTATTTAAAATTTCAGAAAATGCTGAAAAATGTCCATCACAAGTTCCTGGTGTCTACAGAGAGGTTCTAAAAAAAATAAAAACACAAAAACAGCTAATTCTTACCTTTGAGAAGCTAAACAAGCATTTGTGCGGAATAAATGACATGCGCAATTAATCGGTTATCAAAATAATTTTTATTTATCTTCAATGGGTTAATTGATTAATCAGCAAATTGTCTGATGTGTTTTTAGTAGTTTTGGACAATAATGGAACTCTAAGGCCCATAGGAATAAGATATATCAGGACTTAGATACACAGACAATACTCATTAGAAAGTACATACATCGGTTTGGTTGACAACAAGAATTTAAACAAACTTATCTTTTAAACTCCATCAAAACCTTTGTAGTTTGGAAACAGTCATGTCAGCTCATTAAACACAGTTAATCTCTTCATTCGTCAATAGTAGCCATTTCCATGAGGCCCCAATACTACACGTTTGTCTTCAAACATGCAGTACTTGTTCTTTAATCTATCACGCTGTCACGTAATTGGAGCATGTCTTCTTTCTCTTCTGTTTCCTTACTGACATCATCCCTTTGTTTTGCTCTGAGATCACGGTCGGCATTGGATAGCATCTCAGGGAAACCCTTTCTATTGGAACGGTAGACTTGATTCAATTAGGGCTGTAATTTGTGTCAGATGCTTCGGTTTGGAAACAAGTTTGTTTCCTTGGGGTACTTCCTGGTCACTGCCATTCAAAAGTACAAACCCAAGTACGTTATCTGTACGCATCATAACATAGAGGCTTTGATCCTGAAGTGTCCATGGAACAGTGTTGGATGTGTTCCTTGACTGGTTGCAGTGAGGTATTTTTTGGTACTTTTTTGGGCCTTTGTTGATCTTCCAACCCTCTGTACCTTGTTCCCATTAAGTAAAGTGCACAGAGGTAACTATTCATGGCATCTTATATTTTTTGAAACCCAGAGAACTTTTCCCCCTGTGCTAGAATATATCACATGGCTCTGAGTATAAGTGTGTCCCTTTTTTGTGGTAATTTAAATAACAATGTACTAGGAATAACAGTGGTACATGTACTATGTGAGCACAATATAAACTAAAATAATAAAGGTCACTCTATAAGACCGGGACACAAAATTAGCTGCTAATGTAGAACCCACTTGAATTGATACTTGCACTTTAGTAGTGCAAAATTTCAATTTCTCAAATTACAAAAATCCAATGACAGGGATTTTGGGGTCCACTTTTGCCGTGTTGGTAATCCAGTCTTTAAACATGACTTTGGAGTTGGTTTGAAGCATTAAACATTCATTTTAATGTACAGAATCTTGTAAACGTTACAATTGATATGTGAGAAAAATCCATAAAGCTTCTCTTTCTTCAGCACCAGAAATATGTTTATTCTGCGCTTTTAAGTATTTTACGCAAAAACCTTGGGCATCTGTGCCTGCAATTTTCTGTTGTCTGTTGTTGAATCCAGTTGCATGATATACGACTTGATTTATCTCGATGCTTAAAAGGTCCAGTGTTTAAGATTTAGAGGGATCTCTAATGTGTTAGAAATGGAATATATTATTCGTAAGTGTGTTTTCAATTGTGTATAATCACCTGAAAATAAGAATCATGTTTTGTTATAATGAGCCCTTTATATCTACAGCGGGAACGAGTCCTCTTCCACGGAATCCGCCATGTTGCACCACCACCACCACCACCCAGAACGTACAAACCAAAAACTCTGTGACAAGCTGACCTTGGTTTGAGCTACCTTGTTGAATAACCATATAACACTATAACCAAGCTATAACCATAACCCATTTGCAAGCGCAAACAAAAATACACCTGCAGCCTCCTAACCAACCACCAAAACAAGTTCAATGTATGTACTACATGGTATGTCTGTCATGACTTTTGCTGTTTCTGAGGAAACTGTCCTCACCAGAACCCACGAATATCTTTCATTTTTTCAAACACTTCCTGACAAGCTAACATTTGTGGCCATGAGAATGACAGCTGAGAAGAAAAGTCCTAAGGCCCACCAAACATCTTAGGGTGGGATGTGAAGGTGAATGCTTGGGTGAAGACTTTGAGACCATAGTTGGTGATATTTCCTTACCACTGACCAAATGGTTTTAGTTCGCTGGACATAACTGTATCTTAACCATAAAGCTGGCAAATCAGAAACATTGATGTTAGGCCATTTGTTTTTTTTTATAGTCATCTGGGTCTTTTTGGAAAGAATTTGTGTCAATAACAAAAACAAATTTTATTTTGTAAATGAATGAGGAAATGAAATCCAGTCATATAAAATGGTATTTTTGTTTCTATTTTGACCAGAGCTCCTTTTTTTCCAGCACACAAACACTGGTTCTGTGACTCCACCCAGTGAGGTTTACCTCATCCAGAGACTTCTCTGCCTCTGGTAAACTTGCCGGTGCCTAAAACCCTGCTCATCTCTGTGTCCCCGCTGCCCTGCACTGCCCTGCCCTGACCTCCCCTCCCCTCCTCTCCCGTCATCTTCATCTCTCTGTACAGCAGTGATCATCACATTGTGACTCGACAATCAGAGACTGATGGTCATGCAACCAGCCCTGCACACATGTGTGCAAGTATGTGTGTTTGATACAGAGAGAGAGAGTGGGCAAGAGAAAGCTCCTGCAGACCAGATCCATCAACAGCTCCAATGGGTTTGACCCTCTCAGGTTAACCGCAGCCATTAATATAAGAGCTTCCCTCCCCTGCCTCCCTACTTCCCGCACTACCTCACGCGGGGGAGGACAGGCCTGTGTGTGTGTGTGTGTGTGTATGTGTGTGAAAATACACACACACACACACACACACACACCGCGGTTGACATGAAGAACTAGAGCTAGATCAAACATTCTAGCGGCAGGCAGCTGAAAAATGGAGTCGGCAGTCACGTATGTTCCACAGCAAAGATCTACACTTGCTGTCGGCACACTGTTATTCTAATCACTCAGCACTGATGTTCTACTTCGTCTTCTCCTCTGGAATGGATAGACCAGCTCACCATCGGTCCATCTTCTTTTTTCTATAAGAACAGTTATTTCTATAAGCCTTCTCCCTGGCTCAGTGTAATATTCTTAGATGGATTTGTGTTTTCTTTAGAAATCATTTATTATACTGTAAGACTTTCTTGTCAGGCTGTAGCAAAGACAATTTCACGAAGTAAGGATGCTGTTACTACAAATACTGTACAAATGTAGTTGGTGCTTATATGTAAAGCATTATATATGTACATCAAGGAAACAGATTGAAATAAAAAAAAAAGAAATGATGACTTGATGTTTTCTTCTGTAAGACTTGACCTGACTTGAAGCCTGAAAGCAGAAACATGGTCAGTTTTGACATGCTGAAGTCACAGAAAATCAATGAATGTAATAAAACAAAGAACCTCATGTTTTTGGAGAACACATTAATACTTATTGTACTCACTCTAAAACACTTTACATTCATATGCAGTTCTTACTGACAATAGTACTGTTTATTTTACTAAAGCTTCTCAACTTTTTGTGTTTTTTGAAAGTTATATTAAAATGCATTAAAGGGACTTGGTCTCAGGTGTGTAAAAAACACTCTGAAAAGAAAAGAGGGTTGAAAAGAAAATGATCAACACCAATATCCAACGAAGGTTAAAGCCAATCCTTGGATAACTATGACCTGGATGACTGAGAATCTTCATAGACATCAACACCAATAAAACTACTGCGTGGGTTCAGAGACACAAAGGACTTTTTCTGAACTTGCAGCTCTCTTATGAAGTCTTACAATACTATACTATACTATCTTTCTCTGCTGACTATTGCACCGCACACTTCTTTAATGATTAAACATTTAAAATGCTTTTTTCCTGTTCTGTTGCACACCGGGCATGGCAAAACAGGAAAAGGGACAAGCTTCTCTTGTCTTATTCCCAGTTCTGGAAGCCCGAAGTGAAATTTCCAAATTGGAAGTCCAAAGATGTAGATAGTTTTCCCTTTACAGCCCTCTAGTGGTTTGCTGTGGTGCAGGTACAGTTTAAGACCTGACACATGCTTCTTAAATTAAATCACTCTGCAAAGGTCATTTAACTGTTGTCATACAAAATCCACAGGCCTCAGAACATATGAAAATATTTTTTTTTCATTAATGACAATGTAATATTGATAAGATACAGTCACAGCAATGATGACTTTTCACCTGATAAATTCAGTACATCACACACACAACCTACATATCAGACTGGTTTCTTGATTTTTTAATTGTATCTAGATTTTAATCTATTTGGTGTTTACGCTATGTTGTTTATGTTAGTTCTAGTATGCGTTTTTATTGCCATGAGCTGTTTGTGGTAGCACCAAATCTCATTACTAGAAATTCTGGTAGAGAATTTTCCACCAAGATATCGTCACCCTAAAAGAAGCCATAT